AGGGATACACATATACAATTCACTAAAAGTAGCAATGCAGGTTAATAAGGCCATTAAAAAAAGCAAACCAGACATTGGGGTTCATTTCTAGAGGGATAGAAATGAAAAGCAGGGAAGTTATAGTAAACTTCTATAGAACCTTGGTTAGACCACATTTAGAATACTGTGTGCAGTTTTGATCCCCACATTATAGAAGGGATATAGAGGCACTGGAGAGGGTGCAAAGGAGATTCACAAGGATGATCCCAGAACTGAGAGGTTATATCTACCAGGAAAGGCTGAACATGCTTTGGATTCTTTTATCTTGAAAAGAGGGTAAGAGGTGACCTGATAGAGGTCTTTAAAATGATGAAAGGTTTTGATAGGGTTGACATAGGGAAGATGTTTCCACTTGTGAGGGAGACCAAAACCAGGGGCCATCAATATAAGATAGTCACAAAAACATCAAATAGGGAAGTTAGAAGAAATTTCTTCACACAGAGAGTAGTGGGAATGTGGAGCATGCTACCACAAGGAGTTGTTAAAGCAAATAGCACAGATGTATTGAAGGGAAAGCTCGATAGGTACATGAGGGAGAAAGGAATAGAAGGTTAATCTTGAAGGCTTAGTTGAGGAAGGGCAGAAGAAGGCTCATGTGGAGCATAAACATCGGCATAGACCAGTTGGGCCAAATGGGCTGTTTCTGTGCTGCATATTGTATTGTAAGTTAACACAACTATTTCAAAATGAGCCTCTGATGACAGCACTTTAGTTATCATTTATCCAAATGATTACAAAAAGTTGTTTAGGAAATATTTCTCCCAATTTTGTACTGAGTTACCCTGACAGTTTAGACATTAGAGACCGAAGAATATGATGAACTTCGTAAAATTGTTTGAATGTCTGAATCGAGCTTCATTTTATTTCCTCTGGGAACAATACCATTTAAAAAGATAATTAGCAAATTAAAAAAAACATATCTGGATTAACTTTTACCAAAATACCAACTGTTTTTTCAAAAGCAATGAAATAACCATCCTACTTCAGCAGCAATGCATAAATATGTATAAATGTGATTTCTGTGATCAGCCTACAATAATGAAAGGAAGTTATGGGGTATGAACTATATTCCAAAAATGACTTGGTCGCCTAATTTCCTTGCCAAAGGAGATTAAAGTAAAATGGAAAGTAATATTAAGAGCTACATAATGTCCCAGGAGCACAGATATCTGGACAGTACAATGATACAGCACAATTTCATATAGCGGTATAACGTAGTTTACCTCAAGATCCTTATTAAAAACATAAACTTTAATGAAAATAAAAACAGCAGTGTGATGGAATTTATGCTTGGCGATTTAACAACTTTAAAGGTCTCAAAGAATTACCTCAAATATTCTCAGGTACATGACAGAACTAACATCATCCATTCCTTCTAAAAGTGGAAAACAGAGAGGGTAAATAACAAAAGATAAAACGCTGGAGAATGCAAAGGCGGGAAGAAAAAATAAAAGAGGAAATGCTTTTAAATAATGTACTGTAAATACACACCGATTTCAAAAATAATTTACAGCAAAACTGAATGATTTATAAATGTTTTAAACATTTTTAAGTGTGTCCAAAATGTTTTCTTCACATCATTATACGATTCTGTTCTGGGTTCCCAGGCTTCTCATGCTGGGGCACTAATTGTCCTCTGGCCACTTGCCCAAGTGACCATTGTGCAAGCCTTGGCAGTGAGCGTCAACAGCTGCAACAACAACCAACAACAACTTGCACTTATATAGCGCCCTCCGTCTCAGAGCGTTTAACAGTTAACAGCTGAGCCTGAACTCTTCTCACCCGGTTGCCACACTCACCCATAACCAGTAGAAGGTGCTAAACAGGAACCAGGACCAAGACCTATTTAGCCTCCCTCTTACAGCCCTGGCTAAGACCAGCAAACTCAGCATGGATTCAAACCAGTGAGCTCCTGGTCCGTAAGGTCTAACCACTGCACCAACAGGGCAGCCACCGCCTAATGAATTCTAACCACTTTATTTTATATTCAAAGCAGTTTAATTTTGCTCATTAGGAATTTCTCTGACCGCAATAAGTCCAATTCTTCCATTCACAAATGAAGGAAGGTGCCAAGGTTTTGAAACCCACGGAAAATAAATCAAATTAAATTTTGCTCACAAATATAAATTGTATTTCACTAAAACTTTTACTCACCCAAAACACTGATATTTATATGAGTTGAATTGCTTTACATGGAGAACATATACTGTTACTTGTGACCAGGACACCTTTCGGCTTACCTCTGTATAAATCAACTAAAATCAGCTGATTTAAAAAAAAGAAATGTTACCACATATTTAGAAGTCAGCTGTCCTGATCATTGTATTCCGATGCATTGTATTAACCAGAAAAAGTAAATATACTGCAATTATATAATAAGTTAGTACACAATTTTATACTTCAAGAACACAGAGTGGTTTTATATTTATTTTCACATATCCCCACACTGCTAAAATAAAGTGCAATAACATAAGTGTAATTAAAGTACAGGAAGGAAATATTAAAGTGTTTTTTTCTTCCACTATGCTTCGAATCAGAAACAGATAGCCAAGAGAACACTTTCAATGAATCTTCATTCAATCCGTTTTCTTTCACCAAAAAGTGAATTCAAGCATCCCTTTCAATTTAACAGTTTTGAACAAAGCACCTGTCATTAAATACTCGTATTAATATACCTGAATACCTTCTTTTTGTATGGAATATTGGTTACCTTGTTCTATTGCTTTGCCTGGGTTTCAGTTATTGCATTTTTTTGTATACGAATACACCAAAACACAACAAGCAATATCCAAAAAGTATTTGGATATTTTGAATTTACAGGCCATAATGTTTAACAAAATAGATGAACTTTGGAGAACAGAAAAATGTTTGTGCTGTTTTCTTAAAAATGTAACAGACTTTGCTTGGCATTTTAGCATTTTGTAATAACAATCCATGCTTTTGATAAAAAGCCTTAGATGTCATCGAGAAACCTCAAAGCACTTCTCAGCATATACTGTAAAGTGGATTGACTGTATACTTTGTAGGCCAACTCATATTAATTTTTGTATACTCATTGCATATTTACATGCTTCGATGTAGAGATCTTGGCTCCTGCATAATATTTCAGATGCCAGGGATTCTGGAATTCAAGGCAACAGCATAGAAAGTCACAAATAAAAAATCCAATAGGAAAGGCCTGTGGATTTTTGCAGTAGATTAATGAACTTCCAAGTAGTGAATTTACAATTAAATCCCAGCCTATTTGAACGAGGCTACCCTTGTTTAATGGGTTTCACCAGCCCTCAGCCAAGTCATTGTGTCTCTCGAAGGAATGACAGTGCCAGGCTTACACTGTAGAGTTGATCTGCTTCAAGTTTAGACCAAATCTGGCCTGCTGGCAGATGGCAATAGAGGAGAATGGAGGGGGAATAAACCCAGAAATAAAAAGTAAAATGCGGTAGAGAAATCTACAGCAAATCAACTGAACAAAATGACAAAAGGATTAAACATTGGATTCAACCAACACAGTAACCAATTCCTAATTGAATTGCTGGCAGTTACAACTGGCAATTTCAGTGCGACATTTGTTGATTTCAGTGACAAATGAAAATTCAGTTGGATTGACTGTGTCTTCAATGTCTACTGGATGGGTGAAATGTTTCTCATTTCTTACAAACTTTAAACAGTTTGTTAGACATACATGCATAGAACTTTGAGGACCACCCCACCCCTGCCTCCCCATCGCGCTTTATGCATGTGTGAAACATTCTTGTAAGATGTGGGTCACGCTAGTAGATGTACACAGGAAGATTATTTGACTCAAAATCATGCCACTGGCTGCAATGTGACAAAACATTGGATATGAGAGATAAGTTTCATTTTAGTTGGAAAACGGATCAAAGAAAAAGATAGAGATGGAAGGCAATCAGAAAGAAATGAAAGACAGAAAGTTTTTTTGACAGAAACTGGACAATTGACATACAATGATGAAAGCAAGATAAAAGATTAGACGAGTGTATAAAGCCTTGCGTGAGATATTCAGAAAAGATGCACTGCAAGTAGAAACCTTAAAAGTTGAATAAATATATTGAAAATAAACAGCTTTAACCATATAACACCACACTGCCAACATTATTCCTTTAAGTGATGTGATGACATTGTTTCAAAAAAACCTTATCAACTAGTTAAGCTCTAATCAATAGAATAGGTTTAACAATGGATTATAAAGAAAGCGCATCAATGTGCACACTGCAAACCACAAAACAACACAAAAGCATTGCTATACCAAACAGTATGAAAGACAAAGTTATAAACATCTTCTATTGGTCTGCTGACTAAATATACTGTAAAAACTGAATTCAATTGACGATTCTGACTGTTGTTTTAACAAGATTAATGCCACAGTTTTAAAACCAGTAACTTTGCTAAAGTTCTTGCCACAGTTTACCTCTTCTAAATGTGATAACTAATTTGTTTTTTACATTTTATTAAATGTAAAGATCTGTACCTACATGAACAGTGCTCCAGGGACAACTAATTTTACATCATTAATATCCTATTCATATGATACAAGAAAAGCAGATTTGTTTTTGTGCCTCATAGTTCCAGCAAGCATTAAAACAAGATTTTTAATTATATTACTGTTGTATATTATATAGACTACAGGTGCACTCGGAGAGAACACTGTTCCATCTCCTACAAAAGTTGCTCATGGACTTGAGCTAACAAAACCTCCTCATAAAAAAGCACTGCGCCAGAAGTTACATGCAGACAGACCAGGAGCTGACGCAACATACATGGTAGACTACAGTGCAGAGTCAGAACAGAGAGAGGCAGAGAGGAGCCTGAGTCAGAGGGACAGAAAAGATCTCAACGGTTACCGAATTTCTCAAAATGTGACTTATCCCTCTGTCTTACGTATTGTCACATTTTGAATGATCTCCTCCATGGCTAGCAAGGAGGAGAAGGCATTTACTTACATCAAATAACCTTTCTATATACATCTCCTCATTGACCTTGTCACGCAGGATATCCTGACTCTGTCGCACAAAGGTTACGTAGGCATCTGCCACATCCATCCCAGGTTTCTGGTAAGAAAAGACAAAGAGAGAATTATATTACACTGGTTTGCATTTGCAAAGTCTGTGATCATTCTCTTGAATATATGGTGAGTTTAATAGTACACAATAATTTGTTTCTGATTAACAAAGAAAGGTAAACATTATGTTCTTTCTCAGGTCTTTGACAGAAACAGAAAGAATGTTGAATTACAAATTATACAGTACACGCAGATACATACAGATACATACAATAAGAGGACATTATAACAAGGAGCTATCCCTATGGGTATCATTTAGGGAAGTATTTAGGTTGGACTTTGCAATAGCTTCAGGGGCTCTTTGAGCTCTGGAGGCTTGTAATTCCACCCACTCTTTAGCTGGAAGACAGTTTGCCATAAAATGTAAGATTGCACAGAATTGTAGTAAATTCTTAAATTCAATTTTAATTTGAAAGACATTGTTCTGCAGCTCTCAAAAAGATCCGGGCTTTCAAGTTAAGATCGAATTTCAGAATTTTACACAATATTGCTGCAATCTTAAATTTAAAGGCAAAATGGTCTTAACAGGCTAAGACGAGGAGGAATTTGGGTCCTTCGATTTGGGTGAGTTGTGATCCTAGCAGAGGCTTTGGAGGTCAGTGAGTGTCATAATCCCATGTTACATGCACAAGTTGCAGTTAATTTATCAAGATCATTTCAAAATATGGTACACACAGAATTACAATCAATCCGACATGAGTAAAAAAGTTACTGCAGATGATTTGTGTATGTGTGTATAAATCAATGCTTATCTTGTTCTGTCTTGTTTGCATACTTCCAGCTGAATGTTCTTGTAAACTGACTGTTTGTTGAAATGAAAGATTGTACTCCGCTACATTATGCTCTGTGATGAAGTAAGTGCACAAGTTCACAAGTAAGTACTTTGTTCACTTTACCACTCTAAACTGTGAGAGATACGGTTGTGAGGAGTCCTTCAATAGATTAATAAAATGCTTTGTACTTATAATTACTAAGAATTATTTTTCATTAGGTCTGACAGAGTTGTAACCTGTAAGGTGTATATATCCACTGAGCAAGGACACACCAAAGGTGGTCAGCAGGAGATGAGGAACTATCTACCCCTGCAGTATGTGGCAACCTCTTAGGGCCTCTGATAATCCTGGAGGCGAAGAACAACCCCAGGCTTCTGTTTTCTACCATATCCCGACTCCTCTGTCCCCCCCACCACCCGCGCAGGTCATCTCCTCCAACCTTCACTGTGAGGAGATGCTGGATTTCCTTGAATCCAAAATCAAGGGAATCCGCTCCGCGGTCACTCCCCCTCCAACTTCCACCCACCCCCAACCCCTTCCCTCCCACACTCCTACCCATCCTCCCCTACACACCTTCATACCCGTTTCCCCACCCTCTGTCACCGAACTCATCCTGTCCCTGAAACCCACCACCTGCTCCCTTGACCCCATCCCCACTCCACTCCTTATCTCTCAGCTCCACCTTCTTGCCCCACTTATCACAGACATCATCAACCTGTCCCTCTCCTCTGGCTCTGTTCCCATTCCCCTAAAAACTGCCATCATCACTCCCACTTTGAAAAAACCCTCCCTTGATGCGTCGCAGCTATCAAGCTACCAGCCCATCTCCAACCTCCCCTACCTGTCCAAGGTCCTTGAAAGAGTTGTCACCTCCCAGCTGCGCTCTTTCCTCTCCACCCAAGCAATATATGAACCCCTTCAGTCGGGTTTCCGTGCTGCCCACAGCACAGAAACCGCCCTGGTCAAGGTCACCAATGACATCTTGATCATCTGCGACCAGGGCTCCCTCTGCCTCCACGTCCTCCTCGACCTATCGGCAGCATTCGATACGGTCGATCACGCTATCCTCCTCCACTGCTTGTCCTCCCACCTTCAAGGCCCTGTCCTTGAGTGGTTTAGGTCGGACCTCTCCCACCGTCTTCATTTTGTTTCTACAAATGGCTTTTCCTCCAGCCCCCACACTGTTGCTCCCTCCTACCTCTCCGACCTACTATCCCCCTACCTACCTGCTCGTGCCCTCCGTTCCTCTGGCTCCGGTCTGCTCCACATCCCCCGCCCCAACCGCCCTACCATCGATGGCCGGGCCTTCAGCCTCTCAGCCCCGAGGCTCAGAAACTCCATCCCCCAGTGCCTTCGCCGCTTCCTCCCTTTCCTCCTTCAAGGCTGGTCTCAAGACCTTTCTCTTTGACCGTGCCTTCAGCTCTCCTCTCGACTCTCTACCCCCTCCTCGCTCCCTCCCTTCCCTCCCCTCACCCTGACTATTTCCCCCCTGCTCGGGTCCTGACCCAACCGTCCAGCGCCTTGGGACGTCCTCCCCACGTGAAAGGCGCTCTAGAAATGGAATCTTGTTGTTGTTATTAATCGAAGAAATAATCCCACAAATGCATTATCAGAATGTAATATATCTGGTTTAAAAATGCTGACATACAAATGCTGACTTTGCCACCCAAATATACACACTGGTAAGCAACTGCTGTGAACTGATTTCTGTTAATCAGAAGTACTTACAACCATAGGGCACCAATTCTGGATGGTCAGTCACTGTAAATTACACTTGGTTAACACTTCCCTTTTATTTCCTGAGCGAAAATGAGTACAATTTAGGGAGGAGGTAGGGGGAAAGACCCTACTAGGATTTTGCAAATAATTATAGAGCAAGACATCTGATTGTGTCTCTCTTGAACATGACATTACACGTTCTACCTGCTCTTTCTATGACAAGGGAATGTATCATTAGTGTTGTGCTACTCCTTAAAGCAATTTACAGCTACTAGATACACAATATCCAACTCTATTTCTATTGCAAGAAAAAAAAGTAACTTCATGAAAGGGAATCTAATATTGATTTGTTTTCTTATAGTTACATTGAAATATCAAATGACAAAAAAAACATTAAATATTTCCCAAACTCATTGTTTGGACTTCCTGACTAAAATTAATTTCACTTATCTGAAGAAAACCAAATGAATAAAGACTGAGAAACAGCTTGTCCTGCATTTAACTCACAGACTCAGAACAGAACTGGTTTGTGATTCTCTGACTGCTGGTGCCTTCAATCCGTTGGAATCCAAAGGCACAAATTGGCATGTGTGAAGGTGCACTTGTGTCTCTTGACTTTTTTTTACACACACCACAAATTCCAGGCAAAGTTCCAGATAGGACTGCTATCCTGAAAGCACTCTGGGGAGCTACCCTGCATGAGGGGCGCTATATTCATGCAAGTCGTTGTTGTTGGCATATTCATGGCTCAGCCCTTCCCACTTTGTTTACTTTGCTTTCCTGGTTGTTGCTGCTTTCGGAGATGGGCTGGAGATTCTCATTGGGAGGAGCTGGTAAGTACAACCAGAGGCTAAATATTGTCTCTCGGTTTATATTACAGTGCTGCTGCAGAGGGCAAAGCTGCTGCGAATGCATGCTCCAGGGACTATTATTTTCACTCATTCTCTTGCGATTGAAACACACACTTATAACATTTTTATGTAGCTGCTTTACAAGCATGTTTCTAAAATCGAACAAGTGTAATCTATTACTGGGAGAAAAGTGCCTATTAAATATTTCACCCACATGATATGCAGTCACTCCATTTTGTGAAGCACTTTGAGATATCTCAACGATTTGATAAGGTGCTATATCAAATGCAAGGATTATTATTGCAAAAGTGTAAGCTTTTCTCTATGTTTCAAATGATCAAGTTTAGGAGGTTGATGGGTGATCTGATCGAGATGTATCAGATCATAAATTATAAAGGGATTTGACAGGTTGAATAGTGAACAACTGTTTCCTATGGTGAGAGAATTGAGGACTACAGGCCATAATAATAATCTTTCCATTTGATATAGCACCTTATCACGTCTTCTAGATGTCTCAAAGCACTTCACAGTGAATTATACTGTGAAGTGAATTGACTATATGTTTGGGGGCGGAATGCAGCAGCCAATTGCACACAGCAGTGTTCCACGAACAGTCGTGGATTGAAGAGACCAATTCATTTTTTTTTTAAGGAATTATTCATAGTATCATAGAATTATACAGCACATAGTGTCTGTGCCGGCTTTTTGAAAAGAGCTATCCAATTCGATCCCACTCACCCACTCTCTCCCCACAGCCCTACAAACTTGTCCTCCCCAAACAATTATCTACTTCTTTCTTAAAAGTTGTTATCGAATGAACTTCCACCACTCTTTCAGGCAATGCATTCCAGATCCGAAAAACTCACTGTGTGAAAAAATTTCTCCTCACCTCCCCTGTTACTTTTAACAACTATTTTAAATCGGTGCCCTTGGGTTACCAACCCACCCGCCAGTGGTAATAGTTTCTCCTTGTTCACCTTATCGAATCCCCTAATAATTTTGAAAACTTCTATTAAGTCTCCTCTTAACCTTCTCTACTTCAAGGAGAATAATCCCAGCTTCTTTAGCCTCTCCTAATAACTGAAGTCCCTCATTCCTGGTACCAACCTGGTAAATCTCCTTTGCACCCTCTCCAATGCCTTGACATCCTTCCTAAAGTGTTAGGTCTAAAAGGTGCCCAGAACTGAACACAGTAGCTCCCGGGTTTCTCTTTCTGCCCCTTTTTGTACGGGGGAGTAACATTTGCAACCCTCCAGTCCTCTGGCATCATCACTGTGCCCAAGAAGGATTGAAAGAATGTGGCCAGAGCCTCTGTTATTTCCACCCTTACTTCCCTCAGTAACCTAGGACTGGGTGACTTATCTACCTTGAACACTGTCAACCTTTTTAGTACCTCCTCTCAGTTTATTCTCATCTTATCCAATTTCTCCACCCTCTCCTCCAATATTATGGCATTGGCTGCATCTTCTTTTGTGAAGACAGATGCAAAGTACTCATTCAGTATGTCAGCCATGCCCTCTGTCTCCACAAGATTTCCTCTTTAGTCCCTAATTGGACCCACCCCACCTTTGTATATCCTTTTATTCCTTATATGCTTATAAAATATCTTTGGGTTCCCTTTTATGTTACCTGCTAATCTTTTCTTATACAATCTCTTTGCCCCACTTATTTCCTTTTTCAGTTATCCTCTGTACTTTCTATATTCTATTTGATTATCTTCTGTGTTTTGGACCTGACATTTATCATAAGCCTCCTTTTTCTATTTTATTTTAATCCCAATTTCCTTACTCATCCAGGGAGGTTTGGATGCCCTACCTTTCCCCTTTGTGGGAATGTATTTGTTCTGTCTCTGAACTAACTCCTCCTTGAAGGCTTCCCATTGCTCATTAGCTGTTTTACCTGCCAATCTTTCTTTCCAGTCCACCTTGGCTCGGTCTCTTTTTAATTCACTGAAATTAGCCCTCTTCCAGTTGAGTATCTTCACCTTTGATTGTTCCTTGTCCCTTTCCATAAGTAATCTAAACCTAATGATGTTCTGATCACTGTTGTCCAGATGTTCTCCTACTGAAACCTGCTCTACTTGCCCCACTTCATTCCCCCAGAACTAGATCCAGCACTGCTTCCTTCCTCGTTGGATTGGAAACATACTGACCCTGAGAGTTATTCTACACACATTTCAGGAATCTTCCCCCTCCTTTACACTCTTATTTTGCCAGTCTATGTTAGGATAATTGAAGTCCCCCATTAACACTAATCTATTGATTTTGCAACTTTCTGAAATCTGCTTGCAGATTTGCTCGTTTATCTCCTTCCCACTATTTGAAGATCTATAGTATACACCTAACAAAGTAACAGCTCCTTTTCTGCTCCTTAACTCTAACCAAATAGATTCTGTTTTTGGACCCTCTAGCACATCGTCCCTTTCCAGGGCTGTAACCGTGTCTTTAATCAATATTGCCATCCACCACTCTTTTTTTTCCTTCCCAAGCCTCCTCAATACTTTGTAGCCAGGAATATTCAGCTCCCATTCCTGCACTTGTTTGAGCCAGGTCTCTGTTGTTGCCACTACATCATAACCCCATGTGACAACTTGAGCCCGCAGCTCACCAACCTTATTTGTCACTCCCGTGCATTTACGCACATGCACTCCAAGACCGACTGAGTCTACTCTGCATTTCTCACCCATCTAATCTCTCCCTTTTTTGGATTACTCCTTATTACATTGCTATTCGTCTCTCCCAGTCCTCCATGTAACTTGTTTGTCCTCTCTGATGCTACATCCTGATTCCTTTCCCCTCTTGAAATTAGTTTAAACTCCTCCCCACAGCACTAATTAACCTCCCTGCGAGGACATTGATCCCAGCCCTGTTCAGGTGTAACCCATCCACCTTGTACAGGTCCCACCTGCCTCAGAACTGGTCCCAATGTTTCAGGAACCTGAAGCTCTCCTTTCTGCACCATTTCTCAAGCCATGCTTGATGCGTTTCATCCTGCTGTTTTGATACTCACTTGCACGAGACACTGGGATTAATCCAGAGATCACCACATTTGAGTTCCTACTCTTTAGCTTTTTCCCTAGCTTCTGATACTTTCCCTGTCGGATCGCTGCCCTTTTCTTCCCTACATCATGAATCCTAACATGGACCACGACTTCTGGATGTTCCCCTTCCCCCTGTAGAACATTTTGCACCCGTTCCACGATGTCTTCAACTCTGGCACAAGGAAGGCAATCATACCATGTGAGAGTCATGTCTTAGGTTGCAGAAACGCCTGTCTACTCCTTTCACTGTTGTGTCCCCAATGATAATTGCATTGACACTTTTCCCTGTGTTCCCTTGTGCATTCATTTGCTTTTGACTCCTCTCCCCAGAGGTGTCATCACCCTGACCGGTATTCAGTACAAAGAACCGGTTTGTGAGTGCTACCCGTCCCCTCTTCCTACCAGACTGGGCGGTCACGCACTCACTCTACTTCTGAACTCTCTGTGGCTGTGGGTTGACCACCTCCTGAAACGTTCAATCCATGAACTCTTCAGCCTCCCGTATGCTATGTAGTGACACCAGCCTCACCTCAAGCTCAGAAACCTTGAGCTCAAGCTCGAGCAGCCGGAGGCACTTCCTACACACGTGTTTGTTCAGGGCATACAAAGCATCCTGGAGTTCCCACATGGCACACATTGTGCACGCAACCAGTCTCAGCTGCCCTGCCATATTCCTAGACATGTTTTATATTAATTTAATATAACTGTTGTATATTTTATAATTATGCACCTCTTTCCCCCTCTGCACCAAATTCCCACTCTCACCAAATTCCTTAACAGAATTCTCACTCTGTTCCACCTCTCTCAGTTACCTCCTCACTCTGCTGGGCTCTCTGCTTGAGTGAAGCTCTCGCATTTCTCCCCTTTATATAGGCCTCTGACATAACCAGTTTCAACTGGCAGGTTGTATTACTCCCGGAAAAGCATTCCACCAATCAACTAACAACCAGGTTTCTACTTACTGCTTGGTAAACAGAGGCGTGAGGAGTAAGGAAACTTGCCCAACATTTCGCCCTGCCAAGAATCAAACCCAGGTTTCTCACTTGAGAGACGAGTGCTCTAACCACCGAGTCTTAAACTTGAGGCTAAACCATTTAAATGTGAAGTAAGGAAACATTTTTTCATGCAGTGGATAGTGGGAGTATGGAATTCACTGCCCCAGAGGGCAGTGGAGACAAAGCCAATTGAAGAATTTAAAGGCCAACAGATATATTGATAGACAGGGGCTTCGGGGATGTACAGGGAGTACATGGAGGTGGGCTTGAGCTGTGGATTAGGCACCATCTTGGAAAGTGGTGGGACAGGTCTGATGAGCTGAATGGCCTCCTCCTATTCCTATGCTCCTTAATCCTAATAGAGAGGCAAATTGATCTTAACAGTATAAACAATGATCCAGGAGGCCAAAGTGGAAAGAAAATATAATTTATAAAATAGGCCCTAAATTTTTGTAAAAGTACGTACAATTTACCCAACCTTGAAATGATATTAAATATTTTAAATTAGGAGAGGAGTTCTTGTCTCTTTATACTTTAAATAAGCATTAATTTGAACGATTTAAGGAGAGTAAATCACTACACAATGGTGGAGTTTTAAATCAAATGAGTTGGCTTCATTAGTATTCTCTGTAACTCAATCTTCAAAGTTACTGTGACATATTAGTGGTAATAATACACTCCCAGCAAACACTCACACACTTGAAATGACATGATTTCTTACTTCGGCACAGTTTGATTAGGTGAAACTTGCCAAGGGGAAAGGAAGCTGAAAGAGATCTAGGGTGTTAGTTGACTCATTGCTCACCATGTCAAAACAACAATAAACAAGGGAAACTCAGTAATGGACTATGTAGCCTAATGAGTTGAGTTCAAATTCCCAGAAGTCAAATTGTACTTGAGAATGACTTTATGAAGTCATTGCTCTGGTCGGGCCACACCTGCCATACTGTGTACAGTTCTGATATCTGCACCAAAGTGCCCTGGCCCTCGAGACAGTGTAATGAACAGTAATGAAGACCATCCCCATTGTTTAAAGCTGTGAACGACAACTAGACATGGTATCAACCTTGAAAACTGATGTTTTAGAGGGGGCCTTACAGAGGGATATAAGATTTAGATGAGATTGAAAAAGGACAACCAAAACAATGCTTTCAAATTTGCCACTACAGCAGATCAAGAGGACACAAATTTGGGGTAACAAAGGGCAGTTTCAGAACAGACACCAGGAAGCATTTCTTTATTCAGAGGGTCGTCAAGGACTGGAACAGTTACCAGGAAGGGTGGTTGAGGCCAAGATGCTGGACTTGTGTAAGAAACAGCTTGCTGCTGTGATGAAAGAACAACAGGGTGACTATTCTATAAGGATGAAATCAAATGGGCCAAAGGATCTTCTTCAGCTGAACTGATCTTGTGAGGTAAAACATTTGTGAACTTTAAGAATGGGTTTCTTCTGTTTCAAAGTTTGCCTTATTTTCTAAATTCAGGAATTTTATTTGTATATACATGATTGTGTAAGCAGACAAAAACAAAGTGACAGAAGTATAGTTGGACTTACAGGTACATCCACGTACTTTGAAGCTGCTTTCACCTTTAAGGCAAGATAGCAAGAGAGGACATAATTACAAATGTAATCATTGGACTAACTGTCAGCAAAGGATGCCTTGCATTAACATGCTGAATATATAATTAAACAACATTTTTAGCTTTCCATAATTGCACTTGGTTAAACCGTAAAACTATACTGCATACCAGAACTGAGAGCATTTCTTAATGCAAACTCTCTGCTTGTTGGCCTTCCCAACTTTTCCCTCCACAAGCTGCAGATCATAGAATCATAGAATTATACAGCACAGAGGGAGGCCATTCAGCTCATCATATCTGTGACGGCTCCTTGAAAAGAGCTATCCAAATCAATCCTATTCTCCTGCTCTCTCCCCATAGCCCTGCAAACTTGTCCTCCCCAATAATTTAGAATTTTGCAGGTTGTGTCATCTCCTGCTCCAGGTGACCCTATCACTTCCACCCTCGTCTGGCTCCATTAGCTCCCCGTCCCCAGAGGACAGAGTTCAAAATCCTCATCCTCACCTTCAAGGCCCTCCATGGCCATGCTCCTTCCTACAACAACAACAATTACATTTGTATAGTGCCTTTCACGTCGCAAGGACATCCTAAGGCACTGAACCTGTGTGACCTGCTAACCCCATATCAACCTATCCGCTCCTTCCGTTCAGCAGACTTCAGCAGCCTGCTCCACGTCCCCCCAAGGCCTGCCCCACCATCAACGGTCAGGCCTTCAGCCTCTCTACCTCCACCTTTTGAGAACTCCAACCCACAGTCCCTTGCTCTCTCCCTTGCCTCCTTCAAGGTACGTATCAAGACCTTCCTCTTCGACCAGGCCTTTGGGCACTCTCCAACCCCTAACTCCTTGACCTCCACCACTCCCCCCCTCTCGATCCGAACCCCGTGCTCCCAATGCCCTGCTTGGGTCCAAATCCCTGACTGTCCAGCACCTTGGGACATCCTTCTGACGTGAAAGACGCTATTCAAATGTCATTGAAAGAGATGCTCTATATCCGGTAAAATTTAACATGCTTTAAATTTAACATTACTTTCCACATTGGTCATTAGGATATATTTCCATTATAACTATTATAACGATATTGTCAAACTATGCTAAATATGCTGACCCACAGAGCATCATCCAGCAAAATAGGCATGAAATACACAAATTAACATAAAGAGTCTTACTGTGAAGGACAGAAAGGAAGAGAAGAGTGTCCCTTCATCGTATCTTGACAGTTTGGACAGTACCCCTTCCAAAATAGTGACAAACTAACAGAAGAAAAGGATGGGAGACAAATGAAATTATTTGCTGTTAAAACATTATCAATTTTGCCCTTCATTGCTTAAATAGATGATCATTGAATGATGAGATCCATATTTCAGGATCAGGGCATTAATCTAGCTCTTGCACAACATCCATTGAGGTTTAAGAAACTTCATTTAGTTTGCATTCAAAGCACGTTTGTCCCTCTATAACTAACACTACATGCTGAATGTCATTTTTATACACAAATAGTCATAACTGGGTATAATATTACCTTTGATTCAGTATGTTAGTTCATCGTCTCTCTGTCTAAACAATTATCTATAAATGATTTAAAATGACTGGAAAAAAACCCCCTATGAAGTGATTTTTTAATTGATCATCATCCTCTGAAAGGTTAACAATACAATGTAATAACTGTGTGTTCAGCGTCAGGTAAATGACATGCAATAATACTGACAACAATCAGAACCAATTGAAACATCTCAAAGACGTGATAAGGTGCTATGTCAAATGCAAGGATTATTATTATAATTACTCAGTAATGTTATCTGCTAAACAATTTTTCTGAAAAAAAGCAAGAGAACAACAAGGTACAATACATTTTAACATGGTTGACCTATAAGCTCCACTCTTTGCAATCGGATGTATAACACATTTGGATTTCTGTTACAATGAAATTCTGAAGAAAAAAGTTAAATTGAGGTTTCGACACAATAAATCCCAGTTCCTGCCTATTATTGTTCTGCACTGTACCTTTGCAACCATGAGAGTTATCATTTCTTTCACTGTATCTTCGATCAACTCATCGATTTTCGAATGGTATTGCCGCTGAAAAAAAATAGAAAGGCGCATGGGCAAAATGTGATACTAACTTTGGAGATCCATTGGGCCATACAAGTGAAGTTTGAATTTATTTTTTATTTTTTTTAAAAAGCACGCGCACACCATTCTCTTTAGCAAATCTCTAGTTTGGGAGCAGAGTATTTTCCAGGTGTACAACATTTGTGGGATGGATTTGGTGCTGAATGCTGGTTTCAGGACATATATGTGCGATTTTGAGTTTGTTTTTTGGGGAGGTTTCAGATGCAAATAAATGTGAACAGCTGCCGTGTAACTGCATCTATAGTGGGACGTCAAAGCACACAGCTTGGTTTACCAACCCTGTCATAATGTCGCAAAAAAGGCTGGGAATGTTGTGCTCATTGATTGCAAACACCATTGTCTTGGTCTGAGCTTACATCAGAATTGTTGAATTGATTTCAAACTGAGTGACACAAACAGGTAAAAGAATTGGGTAGTCTAGTCACTTGGATCATTCTCCAGCTGGAAGTGAATGAATGTGTATCTAATATTTATTCCTCACACAATTCCCAATTTTGATGAGACTATCAGGAAGAGGTACCAAGAGGCAGGCGTTTCCTTAAACAAAGAGGAGACAGGAACCAAGTAACCTAGGTCTCATTCATGCTAACTTTGTGCCCAGTTAGAAAATGGTATCAGTTTTGGCCTGGGGCCAGGTCACCTGTTGGCCTGCTTACACACAAAGCATGTTTAATAAATTCTTTGGACATTTTGGCAAATGTGAAATCATTGAAAGCAAGTTTTAAAACTACATCTTTTAGTCCAGAAATTCCATCTCAGCAGTCTATTCATTCCAATTAATTCAGAATTGCATGTAAATAATTCATAAATAAACCTTCCATCAAGAATACTGTGGAAAATTCATATTAGATACGCAAAAATACTGTTTAAGTCTCACTGTAGATCCTGGATAGAAACTGTTCATTGCAGGAATTACATTCGGTCAGACTAAAACATATATTTTTAACTGACAGACAGTAGTAGCAGTGATGGTTTAATATGTGCATTATATTCATATAATATTCCACTAAACAAATAACTAATAGAAATTGTCAGACATTTTAGAACATTTATTATCACCTAATTTATGTGCATTTCTTAAGTTTTTAAAAAATGTAAATTAAAAAACTACTGTATTGTTATTTATGAGTTGTCTTGAGACAGCAAAAGGATGCTATGCTGATCTGACAGATGCATGCTTAAAAAGGAGCTGCAGCCGTTTGATATAAGTGCAGCTTGAATTCATAATTTTCTATATCTTAGGTTGGGTTCAGCGCTTTGGGACGTCCTCCCAACGTGAAAGGCGCTCTATAAATGTAATTTTGTTGTTTTGTTGTTGATAGTTTTGTCAAGTGTTTTCACTGTTAAAACAAACGTATCTCACATACGTAAGGAAAACACTCTTATTTTTTAGCTAGGTGTGTAAGAAAATCTCACAGTTTTACTCAGCTATGAATCAATTTCTAGCTGCAGTGCAACCCTGTTTTAAGACTTTGTTCGCTTACTATATGTGGACCCGACATTTACTTACAGAACAATACAAATGAGTGCAAAAAGCTGGCCAGCTCATATCAAAACTTGGTTGAATTCTCACATATGAAAAAAGCGGCCAACTTTCATGTCGTCGGTTCACCGTTACAGCCACTTTCTGTGCATTATGACCTTTTTTGCATGCAGGAAGCTGGCTGGCTTTCCATGTGTATGTGCAGTGAATGTGGAAGCTCTGTCCAGAAATGGGATATGGACACTGCCCCCTTCCAAACAACTGTGTTATAACAGACCTCTACTGTAAGAAACTACTGTGACCCAATTCTGCTTCCACTCCCAATGCTCCTGACCTCCCCAATCCCAATAAACAGGAACATATTCCTCTTTGGAGTATCCATCTGATTAATCTGTAAGGGCTTCATGATAGCAGCAATTTAATCATACTTTAGGTCCCAGATAAACAATGAACTATCAGTTTGTTATTGTAATAAATAAATTATAGAAATAAATTATAATTTTAACCTCACTTACCCATTCTTTAGAAAACTTTCAGGTGATTGAGAAAAAGAAATAAAGAGAAAGATGCGAGAGATAGGAAGAAGAACACGGTAATGGTGAAACATATTTAAAATAAATCTGTAAAAAAAAAACACCAGGGACGGGATTATTGGAGAAAAAAATTACTGAAATGAATATGATCACAATATGCAATGCAAAATGATACAAAAACATAAAGGGATGAACAGGCAAAAGGAAGATATATCCAAGCAAATAAAAGCTATGTGAGCACTAGTTGGACTTGCTAACTAAAGCTACCTGAATGTAAACCTTTGATTACTGAATGAGATTTAAACACCGCAGTAAATTGTTCGAGAATCCTAAATTAAAAAACTGCTCAGTAGTTAGTTGTGGATATTTCCTCTGTTTATATTGTATGTATAATATTCAACAGTGGAAATGTAGAGAAAATATATCTGTTCAGATATTCTACAACAACAAAAAATCATATTTTGAAACCTGTAGTGACATTCAGTATTCAAAGGGTTAATTGGCCCGTATTAGAAAATAGTTTTTGTTTAAAGAAAAGAAGCAAATATAGCTAATCCTAGTCACAGCTATTTAAAATGTGTTTTAGATTTTTATTTTGTTTATAAAAGGTTTAACTTAACCATGGTGTGTTGCAATGAATTGGATTTGTATTGTTAAGCTTCTGACTGGCACAATTTATTTTCATGAAAAAGTGTTAACTTACTTCCTGGCCCATTTCCATGCTGCAAAGCTTCGTGGACTGAGACTTGGCATCAACCATCACATTAAACATGGTGCATATTGACTGTGGGACACGAAAATCTGTTGACCTGCTTGTCTTCTGCAGCTTGGCTTCAAATGCAACCCTTGTTCTGTCGAAGGAAATTTTAATTGTTTTTAAAATCTAAAATGAGAAACAGTGCCAAGGGCCAGCCAAATTGTACAAATAATGTAAATTATGTAAACAATTGTTTTCAAAATATGTTTTGAGGAAAAGGAGAGTCTAAGACTACTCATTAATATTATACAATACAATTGTAAGACAATTTCCATTTCCATTGTGCCTTTCATGTCAGGAGGACATCTCAAAGCACTTTATACTGATCATCCAAGCTGAGGGGGGAGAAATAAGAGGTGAAGAGGGAGGGGAAGGAAATGGTGACTGAATGCGTGGTCAGAGAGATATGGAAAATAAAACAATTACAAATGGCTCCAGATATCTACTCAGACATCTAAATCACTGGAAAGGAGTGTTATATACTAACTGGTACTCTTAGTGCTAGAACAAGTACTGTATGTTCCTGCTTAATACGGTACATTGCAATTGCTTTTGTGTTACGCAGAACACAACTGGAAATCCAGTGTAATACTTCACATCTATTATAGTGTTTACAGAGACATTCCCATGCAATATTCAATTCAGATCCTGTGCTTTCAAAGCAAGTATAATACATTATTGGCAGCAATTGAGTGACGTGGCATGTCAAGCATGCCAATGTAATACAGCAAAGGTTCCTTTCTTTCTGAATTGGCTATCGTGAATTATAATTAAATCTTCTAGGTAATCCACTAAATAGGGATTATGTTCTCACATAAGTACTCGTTTGGTTTGTTTACACTTGTTCTGTAGAAAGTCTAACCTTTTAACACATGATTCAATCATGTCACTGGACATGAGCTTGAGTCTTTGCTCCAGGTGTTTTGCAAACTCCTCCTCTGGCCAATGCAGATCTCTAATGAATGTCTGCAGGGCATCTAGTTTCCAAAACAGATCTTCGGAGGTTGCTGAACCATTGCTGAAAAAACAGGGAAACACTAGTCAGAATCAGCCTTAAGTCACTTTTCAAATAATATAGATACTAGCTCAATGCCTGGGGTGCACAGCAGTCTAAAGCAAAAGAAGGATTTTAGAAATAAGATCCCAACAGTCAGAGCTTGGATTTTTTTTATCATACACCTCATGTGTTTTGTAGTGCCACGTTACAGTATTATTGAATAGTTAGCAATCCTCTAACTGCATGCAGGTTTAGGAATTACTCAAGTTAAAATTGGTTTACAGAAAAAGTGTATGGTAAAAGTTAGCCTGGGATCTTAACTACTTGGGTGGGTGGGTTTAATTTTAAATTGTGGTTTCATGCATGTTTCAAAAAAATTTCTCAGAAACCAAGACAAACTTGCTCTGGGGTTGGGTGCTTTAGTGGTGGGCGAGGGTTTGCCAATTATGGCTAGGACCTCCAGGTTGACCCTTAACAATTTAGGTTGCTTTGCCAATAGTGGTCAATGTTTTGGGGATAACAACTAATCCATCTTGAAGTACCTTAATAACTTTTCCGCAGAATGTCCTCAGGGCAGCCAGAGATATGTAGGCTAAACTGTTAAAAGAAGTAGCCTTCAATGAAAAGTACCCATGCGTTTGGGATTCCAGCAGCCTTGGCCTCACTGTAAAATTTTATTTCTTTTCTTTTCTCATGAAATCCATCCTCGCGAACCACTAACGCTAGCACACTGGACTTTTTTTTTAGATGTTGTATACACCATGCATTACCACTACTGCTGGCATCATCTCCAGAAACAACATATGGCAGTCTGTGTTTCCAATGTGATGGATGCCAGCTGCACTGAAGTAACGAATGCTTCAGAGCCAGGAGAAAGCTACTGTAGGGTGAGACCATATCCCAACATGCCAAGGTAACCCCCACCTTGTGGGAACGCTGTGCTGACAGGTAGAAAGGTTTGTTTATTGAGGGACTCTTTTTTTGTCCACATAGATCACGGTTACAAAAAATTCATTGATTCTACAGAAAAAATGTTTTGGGTTCCAGTGGAAAGATACAGAATCAAGCATTTCACAATCCACTGACAGCTTGTTAATTTTGACAATACATATATCCACGTCACATCACAGCACAATGACGGTACTTCCGCAGGACCAAGAACATAACCGTACAATGAAGAGTGACAAGTTGTATGTGTTACCAGCCTGATTGCTCTCAAATGTTGTAAAAGTACACTCGATCCTTATTATAATAGTCCTTGGGAGCCAAGCATTTTGCATGTTATAATGAGCTACGTACCACAGTGAATGTCCCATAAAACACAATGCAACTCAAGGAAATTCCAGGGATTTTTATAACAGAGGTTAGTGTACTATGACAGAATTAGAATATGGTCGTCGATCTTGCTTTGCTATTATGCATTGATTCATTATCTTTCCAAGCTATCACACAGCATGCAAAAAGAATAAAATGGACAAGCTCTCTAGGTCTCCATGCTTTCCATTTTCAAATGCTTCCTAAACTAGTCTTCCATATAGTCAACCTGGCATGAAAATGGTTTTCCGTTTTTGGGGGAATGATCCCACCGCCTAACATTGAAATTCCATGCTTTGAGCAGCTTAAACACATTAAAATTGTTAAATATGCACAAAGTTAAGTTCTTTTCACTTGGATTTAATGTTTTTTTCTTTTGATTAATTCAAATCAGGGCTTTTTTTAAAACAAGTTTTAGATGGCCTGGATGAAGTTTGGAAACTAAAACTGAAGAAACTTTTATTCTTTTATCCAGTTGTTCAAGGCTGACCAAACTTACAGGAGCAATGATGTAATTATCTATATAATTAAACTGCTAGTTAAAATGTTCAATGAACAGAGTGAAAATACTGAATTCAGACCAATATAGATACCCCTTGATTAAGTGCAAGGTACTGAGCTGTGGGAATGTATTGCAGCTCAAATAGCATGGAAGAGATGCAAGTTTTGTCACATTATCTATAGTGCAATATTCATATGATAAAGAGAAGATGAAGAAAAAATATATATAGAGAGATTTCCTTGGATTGAAGATATCTGAACCACAAATATATTATTTCATATTGTTTCAGAAATTTTAAAATATGCCCATTCAAGATGTATTTGGGTAAAAATGCTTTTATAAATGAAAATTGATTATTTAAAAGCAAACATTTCTCTCAAAAAATCTAAAGAGAACCCTCTTGGTGGATGAATGATAGTTTTGGTTTGATTTCTTACCAGAATTTATAATAGGAAAAACAAGTAAATCCAAGACAAATTCATGCCAGGTTACTGTAGGTGACAATTTCAGATCTAACGTGTATCGAATACACACTCAGAGTCATATATAGCAGCGATCCATGATGAAGCAGAAAAGCTAGGCATTTGTGGGAGGTTAACTGGAAGATTTGGAACTTTGGGGAGATTCACATTTGGTAGATTCACATTGGGCAGATTACTTGTTAAACTCCTGTGGAAGAAACAGACAGAAAGAAAATACCATAACAGGGACAATGTAGACGCAGATGTGGAAGCACATGACAGTTCTAAATAAATCTGCAAAACCATCAAAAAATTCACAGCAATAAAAAACGAAACAAAGAAACAAAACACGAAAAAGGTTTCACGTAAGCACGAGATGTGAACTTGCTGTGGATTTTCTGACTGTTTCAACAGACAGAAATAAACAAAGTTAGAGGAAATTAGAACAGAATCTCACACTTCCAGATGTTCAGAAGTAAATCAATAGATTATTGACAGAAACAAAGAGACACAGCTTGAAAGATGCTATTTTATATCATTTGTAACACTGAAATAATTCCCTCATCAGATTGTAACCTAAAGGAATTGCAAAGATACGTTGAAAGGTGAAATAAATCAACCAATATATTTCCTTATGTAGTAAAGAGGTTGTACATAGGTGTAAAGAAAGCCTGTAGCTAAGCCTAGAATTCCAGTCAAATTAATATCTTTACAGGGGATTATTGCTAATCACTATTGCATATTCAGACAAATGGGGATGCATTTTGCCATAGTGCTGCACGCAATCTGACAACTGCAATTAGGTTGCACAGTTCGGAACTGATACAATAATGTCTTTAAAATGCTTAAAACCACAAAAACGTTTGCACAAAGAAATAAAATTACTGCAAAGCTAAATACTAGCAACTTCAGAAGGGTATGAAAATAAACTGATTACACCCTCAGCAATGTTAGCAATTGTTCTTACCTGTAACCTAACTAGACAGGGCTCTGAGATGCTATCCTGTGTGAAGGGTGCAATATTAATACAGATTGTTGTTGTAACTTTAAAAACTAAACAATATAAAGTCATTCTTATCATCAGACAAGCAATAAATCTGTCAGAAACATGAAAGAAGGAAATGGGTGCTGAGTAGTAACTAGTTACAATAGTAATATTTTCCGTAACTATTTAAATTGTAATATTCCTAAGCACTGTAAATACAACCTAGCAGTGATAGCTTATTATGCTAATAGCTCAACTTAGTTTATTACCTGGCGTGGGTATAGCTACAATAAAAAAAATTCTTGCATTTAATGTCAGGAGTGTCAATTTAATTTAATGTCATTCGTGCCTTTCATGTCAGGAGTGCGTCTCAAAGTATTTCACTGAATTCACTTAAGTGTACAAAATAATGAATTACTTTTTAATAAGTGTTCCAGCTTTTTTATTACAAAAATAAGCAACTAACTCAATTAACTAAGAAATTTTACATTTTCTGGTGCATATCCCCTTAATTGTCAGTATGTGTATCTATTACTAAGAGAAACGTTAAGGAAAGGACATTCCACACAGATGATTCCCCTCTCCAGTGAGGGACCCATTCAATCACCACTAACTGGGAGTATATTGGAATCTATAGTGAAGCTGTATCTTCCATTCAAATGGACACCATGAAAAGCAGTGGCAGACAAGGAACATTCCCAATGTCTCTGACAGAAGAGCATTAGAGACAAATGAGACAAATAGTTACTATCTGAGTTAATCTACTGCTTGATTTCGAGCAGATCTATCTAATGAGTCAGGGAATGACAAGAAGTCAAAAATGAAGAGAAAAAATTCAAGGGGCTCAGGAAGTGCCACATCCAAAAGGCAGGCCATGATGTTGTTCTGTTTTCCATCTATAAATCTATTAAAAAATATACTTTGACCCAAAGACAGTTACGCTGATCGTAACTATAAATGTGCCACTACTTATTGCCAATATCAGGACAATTCAATGCTTGTTATAACAAGGTAGTAGAACATTATGTCACTTACGCCTCAGTCCTTTTATTTCAAATTAATGTGTAGCTCTATCACTTTGTTTGATTAAAAATTTATATTGAACTTTTAAACTTAAACATAACACAGTGATTTCAAAGAAGCTTGAGTGCTTCAAGTTCAAGAAGTCGCAAGCATTGCTCGACATTTATTACTTAATGACGGAATCAGAAATATACTCACACACGCCATTTGCGTGTATGCTTTTATATGCGCGGATGCCATAAATACAATTAGTCATACTTGTGCCATCTGTTGGTAGCATGAAACCATTACTAGCATTCAGTTCACATAATGGATGCATTTAACTGAAACATTTACATATACACATTTAATATGAAACCCAAATACTGCTTTATCTTGAATTCACAATGTAGAAGGCAAATACACCTTTTAAACAAGGTGCCTGCAGTCATATGACAATCAAGAACTTTGGAGATTACTGCATTCTTAAGAGGAAACAAGATTCTGCAGTAAGGTGACTGTCAAATAAATATATCACAAAATAGGCACCTCCACATGAATACGGATTGGCATTACAGCCAAACAGCTGGCTTGAGTAGCCTCCTTTTTAAATGATTACAATGCAGTTTGCAAAGAACTGTGTAGACACTTTTGATGGTGTTCAGTAAAATACAAACCAAAACCTGCAGGCTAGCAAAATATATTCAAAATGACATTCTAGGCATTAACATTTTTGAAATTGCATTTTTCCCTGAAAAGCAATACAGCTGTTAGTTGTCATTCAAGCACACACAGCGTTTACTATTAAAAAGCACAATTCTGTCTAATTGTTGATGGTTGTGTAATGGGTTGTGGCACGCCGGTTACAGCTTCTCTTTCTAGAGTTGAGATGATTGAGAGGGGAACTGCTAGACGTGTTTAAGAATTTGAAAGGATACGATAAAGTGGAAGTTGATGGACTGTTTCCACTTGCTGGTGAGTACAAAATGAGAGGGTATTAATATAAGATAGCTAGTAGGTAGATCTAATACGGAATTTAGGAGGAACATCTTCATGCAGAGGGTGGTGAGAATGTAGAACTCACTGCTCGAAGCTACAGTTCAAGCAAAAAGCATTTAAGAGAAAGCTTGATGCACACATGAGCGAGAAGGGAATAGAAGGGAATTGGAGAAGGGAATAGGTGGGGAGCATAAACTCCAGCATATACCTGTTGGGCTAAATGGCCTATTTATGTGCTAAATAAATAATAAACCTCGAATTTGATATAGAGTCTTCGAGACGTCTCAAAGCGCTTCACAGAATATACTGTAAAGTGAATTGACTGTATATTTTGTGGTCAAAACAGCATTTTGTGGGCAAATCACTCTATGTAATGCAATGAAAATCTGACTATTGTAGTTTTAGATTTTTTCAGGTAATTTGTTACCATTTGCTCTGGTGAAGAGAGACGGGACAATTAATATTTATTATTTTCTCCCTCAATGATTTTCTCCCAGTTCTTCTCCTGACTTAGTTTGATTTATTTTCCCTTTTCTTGGGGTGCACTTTCATGGTCAAGCACCTTGTGGTCCATCACATCCAACCTGTCATTATTAATTGATGAGTGTTGGTAAGCTATTCGAAAGTGGAGAGAAGGGAAGAAAAATTGCTGAGGCCAAGAACCACACACCCACACATCTCCAGCAGGAGTCACTGAATAGTAAATGTTTGTTTCTCCTCCCTAGGGTGCAAGGGATATCAAGAGCAAGAGTAAACATTTTTATCAATACATATTAAGAGAAAGAGAGTGGTAAAGGGGAATCTGGGCGAAAGGATAGTGGAAATCTGGAACTCTCTCCCCCAAAATGCTGTGGGCGTTGGATCCATTCACATTTTCAAGACTGACGTGAATAGATATTTGTTAGGTCAAAATATCAAGGGATATGGGGCAAAGTCGGGTAATTGGAGTTGAGGTACCGATTAGCCCCGATCTTATTGGAACAGACTCGAGGGGCTGAATGACCGACTCCTGTTTCTATGCTTCCAGATGTTAATAGTAGGATTCGAATCCTAGCCCCAGGTGAGATGAGACACAGACCAGGTGTGGATGTAACCTGCAACCTTATAACATTGCAGGTATCAGCTACTCACTGGATAAGTCCATAGAGCTTGGTATTTTCAGTGTGTTGACTGCTTAGATGGCATCTAAAGTAACTTGTGGATTTCATCCGTTACATTCTCAATCGATTTTACATTGTGTTTGGCTCAGTTTACTAAGTGAAGTTTCAAGGAAAAATGAATTGGTCAAGATGTTGCTATGAATTGGGTGAAACATTTAAAGGAATACTCAAAGCTCTATTGAAATCCAGTTCATTTTTAAGTGTGCAATTAGCCCTTGGGAGAGGTTTCTTATCAGAACAAATACTGAAATTTCCTGCTAAAGGAAGCAGAGCAGAGGGTTCCCTTATGCACCGATAGATTTTTATATTGCTTTCATCGATTGTGGAATTTAAATTGTCAGATTTTCAATCATGTTAGACTGCATTTTGATTAGGTTCAACCATCTGAGTCAAGACTGGATTGTTTCCAGTTGTGCTGGACCCGATGGCAATAAGTGGCGCTCTGTAGCCTGAGTCACAGTTTGTTTCTGCACAATGACAGCAAGGTCTGCAAAAGGGAAACAGGTCAAAAATGGGGGGGTAAAACGGGTTGCTTTCAAAGTGGGTCTTGGAAATCAATCTATTGAAACAAATCCTATTCAGAAAACCCCTCCCAAAAAATAAAGCAAAAAAAAGCGTCAAACTGATTGGCTTCCTGACTCTATGGAGGTTTCCTTTACATCTGTTGGTCATTTAATATCATATTATAGGCCTAATCTGAAGCCCATCTGATTCCTCGAACAAAATGTAAAATTACTTGCACACAAGCTGCAGCATTTGCAGTGAACTGATCGCCATTTGGGTATATCTTCATCCATCTGCATCCAAACTCAAAGAATATCAAAGGAGGTGTCCTTACTTTACAGGCTCCCACGATTCACGCTCAAAGCCCCTGTGAATTGATTGTGCAATTGATGACTCCATCAAGTCGACATATCTAACCACAAGAGGAGCGAAGACATCTTGAAGGTGTTTGTGGAATTTTCCATTCATAAGATTATCTAAAATTGAGAATTATTGTGATCATATCAGAACCAAGATTTCAAATGCTGGCTGCAAGATTTAGTGCAATGATAATATTATCATTAGAGCGACAATGGAACTTAATGGAAAGATGGACATTGAACAACAGCTGAAGATAATCAAAAACTGTCTAGATATCAAACTATAACAGCAATTGAATACAAATGGAACAACTCCATTGACCAGTCTATTGTGACAATGTTTATCCTTAAATCCTATTTCATGTAGATTGCTAAGGTGTGAGGTCCAATAATCAAGAGTTGTAGTAATACCGAGAACTTATTGTAAAACAGCAATATGCATATATATTTTTAAAAAAATACATACAGTCGCTCCTCAGGAAATCATTCAGCAGCTGAAATAGGGGGAAGCTGTCCCAAGTGTCCGGGGGCTGAGTTTCCAAAGCTGTGTCCATATCGACTGCAAATAGCGACAGAAAGGTCTCTGCGTGTTCAACCATCAAATCTGACCACCAAGCAAAGGCCTTCGAGGGAGAAAGCCATATGCCATATGAAAAAGAATGAATACAGTTAAATACTCTCAACTACTTTAGAAAGGTCTGTCGTAAACTGGTTTGGGTGCAGCTCTATAGGGCAGATGTTCATACTATGGAAACCATTCGAGTTATTGTAAAGAAAAGAGCACTTTAAATAACAGAGGTACGATAAACAGAAGAACTATCTCTTAAGTCTCTTTCGCAATCCAATTCTTTTCAGGGGGGAGGTTAAGTAGATGTCTGCCTTCCCCAACCTTTGTACTACATAAGAGATCACAATCATTTGCACTCTGGGCAACACATTAATATCAAATAAACCAAATAATGATCACTGGTCTGATTGTTTTGCTGTTCTCTTAACAATAACTCACTGAAGTCATGCCATTTAGCAGCTTTCTACAAGACAATGCCTCTTTGGGTTTATTGGCTATTTCCTATTGGGACTCCCAGCAGATATTCATGCAGCTAGTTCTCTTGTGCATGCTTTTCAGCCTGTTAGGCAGGCTTCTGATGGGGTCCAAGGAGTTACATTCACATCCTGGATGGCTGAGATGTGAATGTGTTGGAAATACATGCATGTTTGTCATGTACCTGTTGCTGGCTAGTAACATGCAATATGAGTGGTGCCAGCTATGGGACCTCATACAGTAACTCTGAGGTGACATAATGCCGGTATCACTTCACACAGACACTATCATTTTCTTTTGAAAAGTTCTCATATTGTGTTCCTATTCAACAGCTAGTTTTAAAAAAAACATACTTAAAGAATTAAGGAATAAAATAAGGAATTATATTGCAACACTTGGTTATAATTTTTTTTGCAATTTTTTTGATAAATACCGTATTATGCCCATTTTCATCCCTTTTGTAATCTCCTAAGGCTACATGCCCTGGAATTCATCTGAGAGGGCAGATGGGTGACTGACGTATTTCCGCAGATTTTGGTAATGTCGCTGATACAGATTTCTGAATTACAAGCGAATGTGGAATCATTAACCAATCTTATCCTCATTGCAACACCTCAGTGCTGCGGCCAATGACCCAGCTAACACTGACAACTCGGCAGCTGGGCAAAATCCAAGTGCAAATGTCAGCCAAAGGGCTGGGAACCAAAGCTGGGTCTTCCAGTCTGTGACATGTCGCACTGACGGGTGGCACCACTGGGCCACCATCTGCCTTTGACAAACCGAACAGCGATTGCTTGGGTGCAGCTGCGGTATCCAAGTATGAAGCGGAACTTACATTTAATAAGAGCAAATTTCTGTTGAGATATTCTGCAATCCACAGCATGCTGGTATTTCAAAAGTACCCTGCACTTTAAAACACCCTTATTTTACTTTGTTTGTACAAGTCAAATGTACATCTGCCTAATATGTCAAGAGTGACAATCATATCCACAGCTCCAACGGTGCTGTGTCAAAATTATCATTAATAACTCATTGATCCCAATTAATCGTTGTTCAATCGTGGCTAGATCTGTGGGGAGAGGGGTCAAAATTCTGCACATGCGGGGTGGGGGGGGAATCTCACAAGGAGTAGAATGTCACTGATATCCTATCCTTAGTTCTCTTCTTGCTTATTATCCTGTTCTACTCCCTCCTCCTGCACCCCTCCAGTATGGGTGACATCCATCTCACAATCCTTCCCCAAACCTTCTGTAGTGCTTTGGATGCTTTAGGCTGGCGGGTAGGACAAATGGAGGGGATGATGAGATGGGTGCAGGGGGAAGGGAGGGTGGGCTGGATATGGGGTAGGCAATGGCAGGATGAGTACAGGGGGATGGGATGACGGGGTAAAGATAGTGGGAAGGGGATGATGGGGGAGATGCTGGAAGAAACAGACTGGTAAGGTTTGCTAGCAAAACATACGTTTAACATAACTTTTGATTCAGACCAGAAAACTGCTTTCGGCGGTTACACCTTCACGCTCAGCATCCCTCCAGATCTAAACTGCCTCTTGCTCTCACAGGTGTTAAAATAGGGCAGTAGGGCTGCCTCTCCTTAGCCAGTGGAGGGTCAAATTACTATGTTAACCTTTTGGTGCTAAAAAAGTTTCAGCTCCTCCGTGCCATAGCCCTTTATAAAAGCTCATGTAATGGAAATTCGACACCCCTGATGTACACAAGTTTGGTTATATAACCTTTGCACTCTCTCTTGCATGGACTGTTTAGCAATAGTGCTAACAGCTGCCTTGCCTTATAATTGGTTTACCCCAACTTTTGATAACTATGGAAAAGGTATTTATAAAGTTCATAGGTGGTAAACAATATTTCTTAAGAAGCTGTTTACATTTTCTGTTCCCTTTACAGATCACATTTAAATATTTGAATTAAACACGTATCGTCACTATTGAGAAGCTGTAAGTGAAGCCCTTTGCTTGTGTTAAGAAACACATGTCATAACTGTGTTACTTGTGTTGTGAAAATGTCGTTCTACTATTTGGTCATAATGATACTGGCTTGTCTCTGCTTTTTCCCTTCTCTAAATGTCAACTCCAACTCTTTGAAGGAGTCGTTTCCATTTCAAATGCAGAAAATCTCTCAATATCAACTGTGGTTTATCATAAATTAATCTGCAGAAATATAAATTCCAAAGAATACAAAGATATCCCGAGTAGAACACAATAGGTGACAACATTCAACACAATTTATAAACCCTGTAAACTTTGAAACACTTTGAAGAATATAGGAGCATTAACTGAAAGACATATTCCTCAGTGGGGATATTACTTCAAAACAGTCAGATCTTATGGGAGAGAATTTCTGAGTGTGAGCTTTATAAATGGATCTATTCAGAGCAAGTGAACAACTGAGGCAAGGGTCTGTGTCAGCAAGCAGGACACAGTTTAACTGTGCTAGGGATCTTCCTTGTGATTAAGGCCTGATCAAAAGCCTTTTTACAAATTCACATTCTTGTCAGTTCTGTCAGTTAACCCTATTGTCCTCACTGGGAGAAACGTCCTATTCAATTGCAGCCTATTACATGAACAAAACTGCTCTTCCTGAATACCTCACCCCAGAGAATGTTCATATGCTTGTAACAGGAATGTCTTCACAGGATTTAATACAAATGAGCTGGGGCACTGGATAAGTGGTCTTTCCATTGTATTTCTAAGATAATAACCCCTCTAACTTCTTTTCAGTGGACAGTTTATAGTATTTTGTACCCTTCAGCACAGTTTTTTAAAATCTGTTTTGATGCATTTAACCCTTATTAAAACTAAATGTACTCTGGCGCCCATGAAATTTAAGAAGTTAAACTTTGTGCACTGTGCTTTTCTTTTGTGAAATACTTTGAAGCACTAATGGAATTAGACCTGTGAGTAATTTATGAGGAAGAAATAAAAGCTGCAGCTAAGCAGAGCACACTGGTGGTACTCAGGATCCTACTATATGGTCTGGTGGATTTTCGTATGGTCTCCACATTGTCCGGCTAACTCCGCACCAAGCGACAATCTGATTGCAGAAACCCGACCTGCCCTTAGGCCTCTGCTAATGTTGCTCTTTGGCAGTCCATGTGAGGCGGTCTCTAACTTTCCTGCACTCCCTCCCTCCTTTCTGGGCAAGCCCCTCACCATGGCTGAGATCAGAACCTCACTGCGGCAACTGAGCATATTCTGTGCAATGTTCAAGTATGAACATGGGAGTGTCGGGGCTGGTAACAATGATGAGGGCAGAAAGGCCTCAACCTGTGAGGCAGCTTTCTCAGGAGTCTCTATAAATGTCCCTGCTCAGGACTGCAGCTGTGGGAGATGAGACATTCTGCTCTGTGGCACGATTAGCACAGTCACAAACATTTGATAAGCTGTTGCCAATTCAGGCCCAGATTACCCACAGCTTCCTTTATTGGTAACGCCTCATTGTGGTGAACATGGCCATAACCTTGAAAATAATCTCTCCTGGCAGTCATTATTCTCATTAGGTAAAACCTATTTAAGAATCTGGGGGTAGACTCATTGCCAAGAGAAATATCCAGACTGAGCCATAAATAGAATGAACGACTGCTAGCCATAAAATGATTTCTGTTTCAACACATTAACCATATAAAATACAGGATTTTACTGGGTACGGCTGTTAAAAAAGTAACACACGTGAGGGTTAGGAAGCAGGTTCCTCCCATGATCATCAGGCTCCCCACTGCAGGAGCCTGATCTCCTGTCCAGCATCACGCTGCGGGTTGCTTGGTTACACTGGAGGCAGATCACAATACTACACTCTCCTGCACCCCCTAGTGACCAGCCATGGAACAGCACCAGCAGAAGCCTGCAGAGAAATGCCTCCAGCAAACTGCAAGACCGGGGAAACATTTCACCCAAAAAGGGGTCAGTTCTGAAACGCAGCATTAAAGAGTTAGCCTAAACTTTGAGCTCAAGTCCCAAAGTGCAACTTGGACCTACAACCAACTAACACATAGGCAAGCATGCCTATAAGCCTGACTAGTTCTCTCAACTAGATATGAATGACTGACTTCCTTGTTCTTTAACTTATGGAAGCACTTGTTGACTCCTCGAAAGCTCATAAAAATTTCTCTGTAATGTCACACATTGTGATTTGTCCTCAGAGAGAACAGTCTTTTCAGGTACAGGTGTGTCGTAATCAGTGGGATGTCATAAATCTATGCTCAAAATCAACCAACTTTTGTTACGCTTTTATAATTACAAATATATTGCGAAAAGTGTGCTAGTTTTAGTGGCTTGCACATGATATTACATACACACCAATTTAAACACAAATTCTAACAATTGACAATCCCACTGCGTCGCTTTGACACCAGTGACAAGTGCTGCCTACAGACTAAAAGAAGACTGCGCAATGCATTTAAATAAAGGCTCTACAGACTAAACACACACAATATACAGGGAGTCCCTATGGGTTGCAGCGTTTGAGTCACTTACCTCTTCATCCACTTCACTACTTAAGCAAATTCTATAATCTTGCAGTGATATTGTGACTTGCATGATGTGCATGCAATTCACATTCATAATGTCAGAAACATCAAAACTACATGTAAAGCTTTTTTATACATATAAAAAAGTATGGACCGACATTGTTATTATAATTCTATGCCTGGGCAGAGGTGTTTGACAAATCAGTTAGAGGAGGCACACAGACTTTACACTACGTTTTGCGTTAAACAACAGAACTGTAACGCAAAAGACAACAGATCTAAACAGACATAAGTAGATTCAGGGAAGATTCCAAGAGGGTGAAGGATGGTGGTAGATGCAACTGCAGTGCTTTATATTACATGCAGAGGCTGTCAAGCCAGCCCAAGCAAACCATTTATGTTACTCATTACAAAGAACATCTTTAAAAGCACCGTCTGCAGTTGGTATCAGTGTTTGGAACAAGAGTAAAGAGTAGGAAGGACCTAGGTAAAATTCCATTAGGAAAGATGGTATCTTTAGGGCATGCACGAGACATGACGGGAGGTGACTCATTTCATTCAGATTAGTCACATACCTCTTTTCCCTGCAGGGTTCCAAGATTGATTGAACAGTAAGGAGGAAATTTGAATATGCAAATCAAGCATTAGTTGTGACTGGCCCATTATCTTTGTACATACATTGGCACTATGGATTTAATACTGCAGTTTTAAAAATGTATTACACTCCTTTCTTCAGGTTAACAAGAACAGGTTTTCTTTGTAAAGTTAAATATACACATAGAAATGTAAGACAGATAAACAGTAAAGAAAGCAACACTGGAAAATGGAGCTACATTTAAACATTTCCTTAAAAGAAAGAGAATTGACGAAATACACCGTTTTAAAAAAAAGATGGAAAAATGACTAAATGAAAGTTGTTCAGTGTAAACTTGACTAATTGTAACTGTCTATATGATTAAACAGTCTGTTCATGGAAAAAGGCCATTTTATGGAATTTATTATTAAATGTGGCAATATTGCATTCCAAAGAATATTCACAGATGAACTAATGATTTAACGAATGAGTGTATTTGTCTTTAACAAGCGCCAATGGGGAGTAATTACCCCATCTTTTTTCCCCCCCAAATAATGAATTAAATGATACACAGAAAAGCTGTAAACTCATACGTGGACTCACTGAATAAAAAGATTAGCCTATCTGATCAGAATATATTTCACTTTGATAAACAAGGGCATCTTACAGGAACTAGTAACAGAGATTCTCCATTGTTAATGTTGTTCTATTTAATATTATTGCTGGTCAACAATCTTGGCTTCTCATTAATGTCACTGTCTAACTATTTCACAGCCCAAGAACCTTGGGCAGTGAAGCCAATTGAATTCTAATCAGTTCCCAGCCAGACAGTATTTCAATATTTTAGAGAGGAAGCAAATCCAAATTTAATTTAAAAAGTGACAGCTTGATGGCAAATAGCATGAGAAATATTAAAGGGACAACTCGATTGGAGGGAATGGGGGAGGCAGCAAATGTTACTGCACTGGGAGTGGTGCCAGAAGCTGGTTTAGTCTTTTCACTGCTATCATTTTCAAAGAACTTAAAGTTGTTCACTCGTCATAAGATAAATCTATATCTTACGGTCTTCACTGCTAAAACTCTTGTAAAAGATCACCACATGTTATCCTAAAGGGTCAGGGAGGAATTTCACTGTGGCTGCTCTTCGTGGAACTTTCTGCCGTGTTTCTTCACATTCCTCTTGAGACCAAATACATTGGAACATGCCTGTGACACTATACCTCGTACAAGCATTGTTGAAATTAATGAGCTTCAACTAATAGTCTCATCCTCATCCACATTTTCTAATGCTAAGCTGCTGCGGTGAATAGACCATACTCCTTAAAATAAACACTTTATGTACAAACAATGGAAACTAATGTTTAAAGGTCTTAGATTTGGGAGTGTAATACTCTGCTCTGACTCAGATACGATTGAAGAACTTGAAGGAAGGATTGAAAAACACACATTTGTGGGTCTTTTGAGGAATTAATTAACATTTTGGTAGCATATTAAAACCAGCATCCTTAAAAATAGTATCAAACCACATAAGCTAGTCACTGAGGAGAAACTATGAAGACAGCAACACTCACCTCTGCGTGGTGCTCTTCATTTTGCTGTAGTACCTCAATAACCAATTCAGCAAGACGAATTGTATCTTCCAGTTTTTTGCCAGGGGAGACTAACCGTCCTACATTTTCTGTTGTAAATGGTATTAAAATAAGTAATATAATATTGTACAAACAAGATTTCCCTTAAGTGACATATCAATTTAAAATCCATGCTTTTATTTTACATAAAGATATTATTATATCAATCTACATAAAAAAGGCTAAATATACATACAGGTATTTTCAGTTTACAAAAGATGTGCAATGCTCCAGGTAGAATTTATCCAAATTTTAGTGCTTGGGCAAGATCCCTCTCTACTTCTTTTTTTAAATCGCCTGTTCATTTTGAGTTGTAACTCGTTTGTTTAACTATGAGTCAGAAGCATTGAAATCTCTGTGATGATTCACATCTCTGTAAATTCTTAATGTTACTCTTGGACATACTCTGTTTTTTAAGAGTAGTGTTGTAAAGCTTCACTAAAAAGAGGACACATTTTTTCAGATATGAAATGAGATTCTCAAGCAATAGGCACTGTGTGAAGAAAGGACCATTGCACCAATACAGAGAAAGCTAACTGGAGCAGTGAATATCGCCAAAAAGCTATTACCTTGCAACAAAACATTGTTCGGTAAATGCAATTTAAACTCATGCAACACATTATGCAGCAACTCTGTTAGTTTGTGCTGACATTTATATTTGAGAATGCTCTGTGCACCAAATTCTCAACAAACAAGGTGACAGTACTGAATAATTTTCTACCAACTAAACTCACAATTTAACTGATCGTAAAAATTAAGCAGAGGATTCTAACACTAAATTCTACTTAGCAATACATTTCTGTAACAGTTCACATTAGCACAACCAGTGTAAAACAAAAAAAAGCATTTAAAAAAATCATGAAAATCAAATAAACCAAAATAAAAAGCTATTACAGTACTTGGTGTTTGCTTAGGCATGCCTCTGAGTCTCTGATTAAGAATGTTTTGCTGCGTTTGTATGGGTGGAGGTGTGGGCGGAGGCTTAGGCCAAGATCGTCGTGCTGCCATGCATGAGTGAGAGAGACAGTAAAAGTAAGCAGGCACATGACTGAATGAACAATGGTACAAGTAACACAGAACTTGTAATGAAATAAACAGAGTTATGACACTTCAAGAGGCTACTCTTGTAACTGTTAATGACAGCCATATCAGAATGTTTCCAAAGATCTCAGGAGTACACCGTATAGCAGATATTTTAAGCACAGCAGAACCATGAAACTTGTTTTAATATAATCTGAGACTGTGCAGCAAACTGCCAGATTCTCTGTTTTTGTAGATGGTATTTTAAAATCGCGGTTAAACTAAAAAGCGCAACTCACCCAAATGCTCGACTATACGGTTTTCTTTATAGAAACTATCAAAGTTTACAAATGAAATGGAAATAGGAACTAAAAATTCTGAACATTACTCCACCTCAGAAAACAATCATTAAATCGGTGTTAAATCAGGTATTGTGACTTATAATCTTTGTATTTGGTATTAGCTGTTTTCATGTCAGGAGGGCTTTGCTCCCTGGGGGCATTCCAACAATCTGTCTCTGGGATTTCAATGTGTAGGTGGGATATATTGAATTCTCAGCTTGGTTTGGATACTCTTAAGCATGGTGATATGTTTCTGCATGTGTCAGACACCTGGCTGACTCTCCCCAAAAAACATCAGGAGTGTGTCTCAAAACGCATCACTGGATTTACTGTAAAGTGTGGTGACTATGTATTTTGTAAGCAAACATGACAGCCCTGAAGTGAATCACAAGTTTTTTCTCTCTGGGGTATTGTTGGCCAAGACACTGGGAGAAACTCCTGCCTCTTTTCTCTTCTGCCTCTTCTTTGTTCAGTGTCCTGATGGATGTGTATTGGAGTGTTTATGACTCAATTAAAGTTCTCTGATCAAGACAGTTCGGAAGGTCATCGACATAAAAAATATTAAAAAATTTTTTTTTTTAAATAAAGCTTCCAGCAACTAAATTTGCTTGAAGTATCTTGAAGAATAAATGCATTTAGATTTATTATCCATATTTAATTGCTTTAAGTAGCAGAAAAGTATCATTGGTGTGATATATTGGGGATTTAATGAAATCCAAATACTAAAATTGAGACTCATTAAAATGCATTGTATGGCTTTCTAAATGAGTTTCATTATTTGAAAAGTTCATCAAATGTTATTTGACGGATTGCTTTAACTAAGAGATCAATACGTAGCTGGCTGAGGATACATCGGAGATTAAAATCATATCAACTTATATCATAAATTATCAAATGCTGAGTATGTTTATAAAGTGCTCAATAATGCAGGAAAAAAGATGAGCACTAAAGTTGTGACATAAGACATGAAGCTGTCAATGCTGAGAAGACGTATGAGAATATCCAATGTATTTTGGACATCCTCTCAAAAGGCAGTATATCAATTCTATTTGTCGTTGTTGTATTTTACTGTGATATTAAGGTATCTAAAAGTCAGGAATTTTATTCCAAGAGACACAATGCATTTTTTCTAATTGGCCCATGATTTGCAAACCACCCAGCTGGTGTCATTGAAGGTAACGAGTTCTCATATCAATACAAAGGTTGTGTAAAGTATGCTCCTATGTAACTATCACTGTACTGTCCAAGAATCTGAGTGTGTTTTTAACAAAATACCTGATTTAACACATTTTAGAGATACAGTAATTCACATGCATTGTGAAATAAGACCAAGGTGGAAGATCCCTCGCCTTATTGTTGATCATTGTAACATAACATCTGAGCCTCTGAGGAAACAGAAAAGTGCCCATAGGGGTTATAAATGGATTCTAATAGTAGTCTGCATGTTCAAAACCTCTAAGTAGGGAATATCATATTTCTTCCACTGAATTGGATTATAATGAAGTTTCAATTGGATGGGTAATTTAAGGAGTGAAAACATCACTCCTGAGACTGTCAGACAGTGAACCCTGATGTATAAAGCATATATAACATCATATTAAAATCAACAACAAATGCCACTGTTGTTTGTATAGCTTGGCAATCAGAATATGAGCCTATACTAATGCACTATCATGGATTCAATACAATAGATTTTACATTTATATTGCAACTTTCATGTCAGGAAGATATCCCAAAGTGCATTCACAGTGCTGGATGGGTATCTGATGAATTGAACTCAAGTTTTTATATGGCAGTATAACAGAACAATGTTGTGGAATCAGCAAATATTTCAGGTGTGTAAAAAACAAATCAAATATGAATTCTCCCAGGTCCCAGCCAGACTCAGATACTGAAGGAATTAATGGAATCTGACTAGTACATTATTCCAAAAACATGTTTTCCATTGCTCAGTTAAATTTTGTAAAATTTTGCTTTATTTTTACAAAACGATTCATGCAGACAATATTTTTAAAGATCCTCTTTCATGCTAGCCCTATGTTATGCAGAACAGTTTATGGGTTTATTTCAGTATCCACACTGATCTCAAGTCCTGTTTGTAGTGTTACAAACATAATCTCTCAAGAGCAGGTTGTCAAAAGCACTCACAAATACTAGTGAAATTAATATAATGATAATAATCGTTGCATTTGATAGAGTCATTGAAATGTCTCAAAGCACTTCACAGGATTTTTATTGTTAAGTGTAGTTACTGCGTGTTTCTTGGTGAAAATTCCACAATGATGAAGGCCTTATTAATACCCCACCCAAAGAAGAAACAAATCCTCGTCCTCACTTTCAAGGCCCTCCACGGCTTTGCCCCCTACTACATCTCTGACCTGCTGATCCCCTATCAACCAGTCCGCTCCCTCCACTCAGCAGCCTCCGGCCTGCTCCAGGTCTCCCGCCCGATGTGCCCTACCATCGGTGGCCGGGCTTTCAACCTCTTTGCCCCCACTCTTTGGAAGTCATGAAAGGTGCTTTACAAATGTAATTTTGTGGTTGTTGTTGAACCACACGAGAGAAGCATGGGGGCAGGGACGGGTTGTCATAATTATAAAGCTATTGAATCCGGAAGGTTAGAGCGCTTTTAACTATGTGCAGGAAGTCTGTAACTAAATAATAATCCTGAAAGCATCCTGAATCTCAAAGGACTTCGCAGGAATTTACTGTGAAGTGTAGGATCTATGTATTTGTAGGTGAACATGGCAGGCAAAATGCACACAGCAATGTCCCACAAACAGCCATGAAGTGATTGCCCAATTTTTTTATTTGGGGGATTGTTGGCCAGGACACCAGGAGAAGCTCCCTTACTCTTTTCGAAGGTCATAGGATCTTTAACACCCACCTGAACAGGCAGATGAGATCTCGCTAATTCCATGATATAAAAGTGTGTTTCCTATCTAATTTTTAGATACTGATGAAGAATCATATACAACTAATATAAAATTCATTAATATAAAATTCAAAGGCCTTAAAAGGACTTTATTACTTTAAATGGCATTTCAATACACTAAGTCCACACTAAGTGGAAACAATTTCCTTGGCTCAGATGTTATAATACACCCTGTACAATATCCTTAAAAACTAATATCAGTATAATTTAACATAACTGAAACAAAACTCTATTGCAACTGCTTTTCTACTATAGGTGGGTCATTTTATTGTACATGTAACTACACCAGGATTTGTCCACTATAAATCCATTCAATGGTGAACTATATTAAAATAAATGAAGCTGCAAGTTGTACCCTCTCCAGAGGTAAGTTTCAGTTTATAGTTCTCAACAATTGTTCAGATAAAGAGAGTTAAAATGAACAAACATGCAGCATAAACACTGGATTTTTTTTAAATACTAAGAGGCAACATATGAATTTGTTGGATGCATTAACTATAAACGTTCATGCACTTTATGCTTCCACTGATCTCAACAGTAACAGTTTGTTTGTTTAATGCGTGGCCATTATAACATTTATGTTATCATCAGTAAATCTCAGATATCAAATTGAAAGTCACTATAATTGACACAGCTACTTTGGCGCTTTAAAAATACTTTAATTGATACATATGCATTATTAGCATTCCACTCCCCCACACATGAAAACTTTGAAGATGATGCAACTTGCAAAAGCAATTCAGATTGCTGAACGTGTATCTCTGAATCTAGATAAATGCTAATTGTGTTCCACGCCATCTACAGACAGCACAAATTAACTCCTTAAGGGTCTCTACCCCAGAGACTCATTAAATATTAATTGAGCCAACTGAAGAGCACCTCAGAAGGAGCTAGGCTACTCAAACGTAATTTTAAATGACGGAAATAATCTGATGATATAGTCCTACTACATTAAGATGTAGAATACAATAGTTCACCTGGATCCTTTTGATTCTCTATATGAAAGAGAGAGCAACAAGGAGAGAAAGAGAGAAAAACAAGACAAATATGCAGGATTAATGAGCAAGTGAACCAAAAGCTACACCCTAGTCGTGTGGCACCAATGATCTCCAAAGAATTTGCCCATTGCCTCCCACTACCCTGAACGGGAATGAATGTTACTACAGGAGCCTTCCGAGCAAAGGCCAACAGGTGCACCACTGAGATGGACAGTCAGCAATTACACATTCGGAGATGAAAGCAAGCAATGAGCTCGAGATAGAAGCATATCACAGAATCCTAAAATATTGAGAACGCAGATGGTCCATCAGGAGCTTAAAACTGGAAAAAGGTTAAAGTATGTAAAAGAAAACATGTATGTATATGATTACATTTGTTTAATTAGTCACAGACACGACAGACTAAGGTTAAGATATCCACACAGATCTAACAGAATGTCTTTGTCCACAGTGAAGAAACAACCCATTTCTCATGGCAGTTATGTACCATTGGTTTGCTTATGTGGGTCCTGGCTTTGTACAGTGTACCAGTCACAAGTGCTTTACAACTCAGGAATACATAGAAGCAAAGTAAAAATGCATTCAAGTCACAGACAATAAGAGTAACTTAAAAAATTTACAGATATTTCGAGTTTATCCACAAACAATGGGCTAAGTGTATGTTAAAAAAAACCTGGTTTAGGTCGAAAACAGCTGGCTGAAAGTCAAACAACTTGAGATCACAAACAGAAGCAACAGACAAAGAAGACAGGAGGGACGTAAAGTGCAAGAGGGGGTTGATCACAGGGGCTGGTTTCGATTGGCTTTAAGTCATGTCAACAGAAAGAGCGAGAGACAGTGCGGAAAGGAGGTGGTAAGTACTCACGAATGGTTAAATCCATCACTTGAGAGGCCAAGCAGAAGACAGGATGCTCATACATTTCTCTCTTTTTCCCTATAAAAGAGGATTTGGGCATGCAAGAAGCTTAGGTCAGAAGGAAAAAGATCATAGATCAGAGGAAAATTATATTAGGTCAGAAAGGAAAAAAGGCTCTGGTGTAATTTGGGATACAGGACAGCAGGAAAAAAAGTATTTTGAATTTGTGGGTAATTTAGGTTTAACCATTCAGCATGCCCATGAGTCACAAAAGAACCTGTGACCATGATTCTGACAAATCGCTTCAGATTTTTGTAATCTGTTAATGGCAAAACATAATGAATAAAAGGAAAACAGAATTTCGTTGATCTAGGCTCCAAGATACTAAATGCAGATGCTTTTAGTATCTACACCACTCTCAGGTATTTCTTCATAGGCACAGTCCTCAACACTTTCACAACTGTTTCCACAGTTTGTTCACTATTATTATATTATTGAGCTGCTTTTGAGTAGGTTCTTCAGATCAAGTATATTGCGATTAATTGAAAGCTAAATGATACACATCAGTGGATGTTAGCTGCAATCAATTTGATTTGTTCATAAAATCTCTGTATTACCAATAATTAAATAATTGCAAAGGGAACACACTGATAAACTTTCGCCTTTCAGGTCTGGTTTGAGGATGTTCAATGAAAGCACAGACTGGACTATGCCCATGTAAGGAAGCCTGATACATGCAGTTGGTGAATGCTGGCTTGCTGAGACCACAATCCCTGCATGCTGGCTACTGGGTGATTCTTCAGCCACTTTTTTAGGAATATAAAAAAGTGACAAGGTCAATATAAAAAAAGGGAGGAGAGAAGCAGAAAGGAACAGGTAGTGAGGAATGGATTACTTCTCTGAACAAGGAGCTGGAAAAAAAGAGTTTGTTTGCTTCAAAGTATTCCCAGACCTAAAAGTCACAGTACAGAAGAGGGTACATTAACAGAACCAGAAAGAATTGAGGAACAAAAGGTGAATAATCAAATACTAAGGGATCTACACTGGAATTGAATGCATTTTTACTTACACATACTTATCATGTGCTCAAACTTTCTAGAACTGCACTCAGCTCTGCCTAAAAGTCAACTGCAGATATTACCCGCTATGCTAGAATCTAATGTTTCCAAACAATAAAAAGATGTTAGTTAATGGACATCATCCACAGCTTTGTATAATTGACAAGACTTTAATAAATAAAACTTTTGAAATCCTAACTCAATATCAAATAAATAAAATCTTAAGCTCTTCCGCTGTTTCCGATAAGCTGCTGCAAAATGCCTGTTATTGCCCAATTCTTAACCTGTAACCTTTGCTTTATTTGTTTCCAAACAATTCTGACCCCATGAATCCAGTCCACAATGTTCATGAAGGGAAAGCCCAGAAAAAAGGAAGAACACTATTGTCTGCCAAAATATTTAGACAACAGACTAGTTGTCCACACAGCATCCCATTGGACAAGAGGTATTTCCAACAAGGTAGAATGGTAGTTGCCTGCGGATTGCTTGACAAATTATTCTTAAAAAGAACTTCACTGCAAGACACGCTGTGGTTTACGACTGGTACTGATATGTCATGTCTGTTCACTAACAATGAAGACATGTTACTCATTTTAACACATATGCAACTAGTGAATGATCAGTACAAGCAGTGGGCCTGTATGGTTTACACATCGGGGTGAGGAGATCATTCTGCTCAACTTTAAAAATAACTATAAGCATTGTCGATTATTCAAGAGGCAGTTGTGAATCAATCAATCAAAAGTACATTAGTCTGTAAAGAGCACAGTCAGCAATGATCAAATGCCACTATCTTATCTTGCTTTAAAAGAAGAAAAAAAGTTACAAATTCCCAATCTTCACATCAACAGTGTAAGCATTCAGAAAAACCTGTCAAACAGAAGGTTAAAAATCTTTGAATACTCAGAACATTGACAATCTGTCTTAAACAGAGGCTTTGGTAGATCATTGTGGTATAGATATTAGACAGGTTTGAATTAGAAACTGTTTAAGTGATTCTACGTGTTTTTGTTCTACCTATGTTTCTATTTTGTCTCTCGCCCCCTTGTTTGGTCTCTCCAGACTATTCGTCATGCCTGCCTTGCATGGTTGATCTGTGAAGAAGTGTGGGCAAGTGGTGGAGTAGGTGCCTGGTCTCTTCTCATTACCGCCCCACAGGAGCATGGCTGAAATCAGGAATCTATGGAGTTGGAATGAGGGAGAGGGGAAACAGGAATCAAATTCTCATTGCAGTTCTCTGTGATGTCAATCGCTGGCACTCCAGTAGAGGATACCATCAAGCCATGAACATATGTCCTTCCGACCATCCTAGAATTGAAGCCATCACGCCAAGTAGCAGTAAGTGTAACACAGGGAGTCTTTCTTCTAACCCTTTGCAGGACATGGAAGCTCAACATTTATACAACAGTGTCCTGGAAACCATTTAAACTCTGATGGCAATAGAGAAAAACCTTCACTTTCTTTTGATAACTGCAAATGATGATGTGTAAATATTGTTTAAATGCAGGAGCATTCCAATGATTTTGATTCAAGTGGTGATGTACTATGGATTTTGGATACGATAATAACATTTTCTTCACATATCTCAATCAAGACTACTGGATTGTTAAAAGTCACATTACTTGCGGTGATTCACATCGTACAGGTATTACATCTGGAACCTATGTTCATTGCAAGTTGAAACACTGCTCTCAATATATCATTATTTCCCAAACAAAAAACGTTCATTAACACAAAAGGTCTCCATTACCTGCCATCAACAACAATGCCATTTTATAGTTCCAGTTATGGTTCCAGTTCTTAGATCACTCTAAGGACATTTGTTTACTTACAGCAAAGGAAAACTTAAACCATCCCTACAAATGTTTCAGCCCGGGACTAAGCTTGAAAGTCAACAGCATTGATAAAGTCACAGGACAATATTTTAGCAGTAGTGAATCACCACGAAGATCTCAAATTCAATCACATTACTACACAATACTTTTAGAACTTGAAGGCCTAAAAGCATATGAATACAGAATTATTTATAAACCAATTTTTTTTAACAAAAACATCCATCTCCAAGAGATTAATTTGCTGAAGTGCATTTATAAGAAAACATTCTTGTACTTACCTTCAATTTTGGCATATTCAGAAAGACGAGTATAATTCACAAGAGCAGCTTTCTCCAGACATTTGCGAATGACAATTTTGACCTCTTCTTGAGGAACCGGAGTTACTATGTCCTTCATCAACACCTTTATAACCACGAAAATTGGTAGCGTGTCATTTTTCTGCATGTATCATTCCTAATTGAATATCATTTTATCAAAAGAATACTTATTTTACTGCTGTACACTAAGATAATGCATTGAATCACACAAATTATCTGGTTGTATTATAATAATGTAAGCAGAAACTTAATTCAGTAACTTAATTCTTCCTTTTCTCCACCCCGCAACCAAACAGCAATGCCATTTCCATGAGTGCCATGAGTAAGTGAATTAAGGAATCAGTTCACTCGACTATCTAGCCACTGCCCAGTTCTTTGCTGCTACTTTAGAAAATGTGCAAATCTGCAACATCTTAAAGTAGCAAGTTCTTAATGTTGTGAAAATCACATTACTGGTGATGACTTGTCATATTTTATACTTTATCTCTGCAGTTTCTCCCTATCCCCCCAAACTGAATTTATGCTATCCATCCCAGTTGGTTGGGACAGCCCAGCCTACAGACATTTCCACACATGCTATCAATGACTCTATTTGGCACAGCTGCCAGAAGGTACACTTGAGCAATGTGGGAAGGGCGCCATCCTGCCTAGCTTGTACTCGCACGAGCTGAGACTGGCAATTTGTCCCCTAAGGGCAGCTGGAGTGCGGCTGTCAGTTAAGAGTGGGAATCAAGTGCAGGTATCCTTGTAGGGTGTCCAATTGTTTTTTTTGTGCTCGTAGCAGTGAACAATTCAGCTGTTGTATAACATAGTGGTTATAATTAAATTGCCTCTATCCCCACACTCACGTTGTAAAAATGGAGGGGATGCAAAATGTGATGTGATAATTATCACAAGGATAGTAAATGCAGTTGTTTTGTGTCCTTAACAACATGTTCCTTAACAACAGGCTTGGGACCGACCTCTCCTCCCACACCCCCAACTTCTGGAGAATTATTTCTCTCCATCCCGTGCAGAATGATTTGGATTTAATAGAGATTTTTTAAACTTAGAGCCTTCACTTTTAAAATTATCTTTAGGCTAGCATCTAAAATTTATTTTTAAAACATGAATACAGAATAATTTATAAACTAGCAAGGTCTCAGTCCGTAAACTGCAGCACCCTCTGTTACACAATTTAATCGATTCTCACCAGGGTGAAACCTTGGGCAAGTTTCCTTACTCCACACACCTGATAAGAATCCTTCAAAAAAAAATTGTCACTTCAATCCATGACTGTTTGTGGGACACTGCTGTACACAATTGGCTGCCGTGTTTCGCCCACAAATATACGGTCAATTCACTTTACAGTCTATTCTGTGAAGCGCTTTGAGATGTCTAGAAGACGTGAAAAAGCGCTATATCAAATGCAAGGATTATTATTATTATTAAGTAGTCCTAAAATAAGCAAGCCCATTGAGATTCTGCATTCCCAACCCACATTAGGAGCCTCAGGGAGAGAGGGCATTTGGAATAGGTGCCCTGTGGGATTGCCTGAGTTGAACATAGAATATCCAGTGCAACAAGAGAAGAATTCTTACTCACATGTATCCATATTTGTTAAACAGTTATATAATCCGTGCATACCAAGTACAGGGATTGCATATATAGGTTTGAAAATTAAGTTGCTGACATTAGTTGTTATAACAAATTCATGATTTGCGAAAGTTGTGGAGATGCAGACATTGCTTCATTACTTAATCTCATTTACCATTTTTTTTTCAATTAGGTAAATGGACATATACCATGGGGTAAGTGATCATTCAAAGGAGATAGTGGATGCCACATCCACATTATGCAACAGCAGCTCTGCAGCTCATGTGTTAATTTGTCACGCAATGTTTATATCTGTAGGTAATTTTTAACATGACTATTGATATCCACCAGCCAATGATGGCCATAGCTACTTCATCTTCAATTAGTCCCATCTAGCAGAAGCATAACATGTCACAACATCCCAAATAAAATATACTTTTTCCTGATTCATTCTATTTCATATAATGTGGGCACGTCATCAAATAAGTGTTATTTGAAGAGGAGGAGGAAGAGCCTGTCTGACAAGTAGCGACCATTGGAAGCAATCCACAACTACCAAACTACACATGTACAAGTTGGAGGCAAATATAGTGATAATACTTCATAAAGATCTCACTGCAAATATATATTTTTCAATTGGGAGGGACGATTTCTAATTCCAGTCCTCATACCTTGACTGGACTTCCATTTCGCAATTTGATAGTAGTTATGCACTAACTGGCCACCTAGCAATGCTATGCAATATCTTTGACTCTACATTTTAATCCCATATAAGAGTGTAGGAAAATAGGCTATTCTCTTAATCTTCTTGCTCCCATCATTCTAATACTGTTTTAGTTCCTGATCCAAGCATTTTTCTATTGTAACCTATGTCTCCCATATCTTTTTCAAAAATTCTGAGGCTTTTCTGTGATATACAGCACATACATTTTATATTTGTGGAAAATAAGACTTTGAATAACACAATAGCAATTGCAGAATCCAATAACCATACAATGCTGCTGATCTTTGAACTTTACTCAGCAAAATGTTAACCACTCACCCTTTCCAAGAGGGACAAGGTTGCCTTTAGTGCACCCTCAGGACGTCCAAAAGGAAAGCAATATCTGTCAGCAAAATTGATTTTGTTAGTTACTTTTTCAACAAAAGAAATGGCAAGAATAGTAATAAAAATTGCTCATAACATGTGAATCTGTTGCAGCGTATTACAGAATCAGTAGCTGCTGGTACTCTGGAATCCGCCCAGTTTCTAATATTAGAGTGAAATGTAACTGCACAAACTTGTACAAATTTGATCTGCTACTCTTAGAATTCTTGCTTTTATTATATCTCCCTGTATATAGTGCTGGGGTGCGCTGCATTGTCAGATGAGACGTTACACTAATGTCCCATCTGCTTGTTTAGGTAGACATTGAAGATCCCAAGGTCTCGACAACGTGATAAGGCGCTAAACCAAATGCAAGGATTATAAAGAAAGCATGTGGGGTCTGCCTTTGTATCTATTATTGCATCTCTTTAAGCTGGGTGTTAATACCTATTTAAGCAGCAACACAGCTTAGTTTATCTTACAGTGCTCCTGTGAAGTTCAGGCTACCCATGGCAGCAACAGCAAAGTGCATGAATAGTTAACTTCTTGCATTCACTTAAAATTTGAAGGAGAAGTGAACCTTATTGCCATGAATGAAGAGAAAGGGCATTTATATATTACATTATTTAATCGCCTAACGCTCCTCATGAGCTAACGTACTTGAGCAAGGTGATGGGCAATTGAAATGCATCATAATAACTGAGTAGTAAAATGGCGCCTGAGCTGTAATAAAAATGTTATGCAGGTTCAGTATGTCTTAAAAACTATCAGCTATTCCATATGACATCAATCACTGGGTTGAGAGAAGGGAAGCACAGTCAGGCAGCTGGGAAAAAAAAGTGGTTCCCAGAGGCATATACCTGTCAGTTAGGGGGAAACAGCACAGAATAGCGCATAAGCCAATGGTCAAATGAAGGAATCTGAAGGAAGATATCACAGTCAAGTCTGACTGGTGAAGCTGCTGGTGTCAGTGTTTGCAGTGCTGATTCCCGAGTATTTTTTAGACATAAGGTGGATGCTGTTTTGCCCATCTTCATCCCAGCTTGGCGCAGGAAGTGCTTTTGGATCACTTCCTGTGGTAACAAAAACAGATTCTTTATTTACTTGTTCAGCTTCTTGCAACAATACATCATTATTATTAATAATAATCCTTGCATTTGATATAGCACCTTTCACGTCCGTAGGATGTCTCACAGCATTTCACTGTATAAAATGTGGTGACTGCATATTTGTAGGCAAATGCGACAGATAATTTGCAAACCACAATGCCCCACAAACAGTGATGAAGTGAATGACCAATTTTATCCGGGGGATTTGTGGCCAGATCACCAGGAGAAATTCCCTTCTCTTTAACCTCCATCTAAACAATCTTGGTTTAATGTCACATCTTAAAGATGGCACCTCCAACAATAGCAGCGCATCTGTACCACTACATTGGAGTGTCAGCCAGACTATGTGAGTTCAAAGTATTCGCCTGGGACATGACCTCACAACCTTCTGACTCAGAGGTAAGATTGCTACCAACTGAGTTAGGATGACATCTATGAAATACTAACAAGTTTAAAATTCCTCTGTTCCTAAAAGTACACAGTTACCTATAAATGTTTGAAATGATACCAAGATCTTTCTGGGGAGTCTGTAACAAAGAGGTGAAATATGTAATGTGCTGTGACCACATGTTACATTTTTCACCCCATAATGGCATGTGGCATCCAAAGGGTCAGCCACTTACAATTTCTCAAACACTCTTATTGTACTCAGTTGGAACTAAAAGATCTACATAATTGCAAGAAACCTTGGCAGCTACAGGGAGCAGCTAGCTCCACAATGAACATAAAGCTCACCTCTCAGAAAAATATAAAACCCAGAACAAAACTTACCCCTTTTAGCTGCATAGTACGTATCTTCGAATATAGCAGAGACATGAGAGTGATCTCAGGGTATTAACCTCCTGAAAGTTCAGGTTTTTGACAGAAATCACTTGACCTTTATTGCCAACATTGAAGCCTCCTGATCAGATTAGTATCTTCTAATAACCCCTAGGTACACACCATTCTGTGGTGGTGGTGGTGGGGAATCTGAGAGATGTGTATGGGTGGAGGAAAAGATAACCAGAAGTGTGGTTAAAGAGTTAGATCTAAAGGTAAGCTTGTAACTGTTGCGGGATAGTGGGTAACTGTTGCCATTCTGAAAGACATACAAAGCTGGATGACTAGATCAAACTGGCTGATTCTGAGGGAGACATTCTGAGGTCTGCATTTATTCCCAGCTAAATCAAATGGCTCCATATTACCCGCATTGAGCAATGTATATCTAGCTTGAGCCACCATCTAAACTTACCTAAAATGAGTGATCTGATTCTCAAGGAGTAAGCGTAGTCTCTCCTTGATTTCCTCAAAACGTTCCTTTTCTTCCACTGTCACAGTTCCTATTCCATCAGGCCTGGGCAACAAAGAACCACATTTACAAACAGATTGGTACATTGTAAATAATTACTGAATGCTCAATATTCTCTGTGGCTATTTCTGTGGCTGGATATGTGGGGCTCTTGCAGAATTTCTACAAATGGTACCAAACTATGCTTATGATGACAGGGACACAATGCTGTTCAGCAACAAGCGAATTTATATTTGTGTTTTATATTTGGTTCTTCTGGCAGTGTGAAAGCGATGTGTGGTCGTTTTGGAAGCAAGGTGAAATCATGGAAACTTAAGAGTGAATTTAGCCTGTGAAGTAACTCATTGTTTTCTGGCTATTGAAAGAGCATTCTCTGATGTGAAACGGTGCTAACACAAAACCATCAGCTCCCCCTGTGGATGCCTATCCCATCCCAGTGTTTCCTCTTAAACTGCCACCATGTTACAGCCTTCTGAAACCACAATAATATTCAGCTTAATAGAGCTGTACTGGTGCATATAAACTAGCAGCTTTACGCGTATGTTTAACCTGCATCCAATGAGATTCTGTATCTCATCTTCGTTCAGTTAAAAAGAGTGTTTGTGCAGCTAAAAGGTGAAAGTGAAAAATACCTGCTTTTCACCCTATGCTTCTTATTTGTGGGCTTGAAAGATAACAAGCTGAAAGTTTTTCAGATCAGTTCTTCACTATACAATTCCAAATCTCTTCCTGTTAAACACTTAGTGCCACTTTTTGACCTCTTCTACTTAGGAAGCTTGCAACATACCATTAAAATTACAAGAAGGATGGTTTTCCCAGGCTATTTCCCATATGGCTTAAGTTTTAGATGAAGTGCGTTTTATAAAGGAGAACGAGAAGTACAAATTCAGTCCCGCACAAGTAAGCATTTCCTTATTATTTCACAACTTCAAGCTTAACAATATGGATAGTCCCTGAATATTTACACCAGGCAATAATCCATAATAAGAGGCAAAGAGGCCGACCTAATCCTTTCACAAAATGAAGCAACAGCACAGACAAACAACATTACCAGCTTGTTCAGTCAAAAGCAAAGGGATTTGTATTTCACGACCCAGTCTTCACTAGCTCAGTCTCCCTTTCTGTAGTGTGAGGAGACTGTGAATAGAATAAACAGTCCTTTTCCCTAGGCCTCCTTCAGTGTACACTCTAAGCTGTGCAAATCCTCAGCACCAGACTGTTTGGTAACACAAAGGCATGATAAGGGATTACAGAAGCTATAATAAAACTCCTGTCAGGGGTTAATTGGTCATCTTTATTTCTCTTTATTTTGAAGCATCGATTGTGACCTTAGGCTCAGAAATTACAATCTATACTGTCGTGCTGCAGGGACCAATAAGATAGAAAGCTGCTAATGCGGCAAACTTTCCCAAATGAAATTCTACTCTGCAGCTTAGTTAGCAAGTTCTTTTTTCTGCATTTACACTAGGAAGGATTGTTGTAACAAGCTTGCTTTCAGAATGCAGTATTAATTTAATTCATGTGTTAACAGAAAAATATATTTAAATGATGTACAGACCTATTTGCCTAAATAAATCCAAAATAATTATGTTAGGTGTGACGGTTCTTACGGCCCTGAAAACAGGTCTCTGCTATTAAAAGTGCCTTGTGAAGTATCTTGTGATTGAGGCAGTGTGGGTACAACAGCAAGTCCTGTGGGTTTTAATTCATTGAATTAAACTTGTTTTCAAAGCTCAAGTTTTTATGATATAATCTGCTGAGGACCATTAAATCCTTACTCAGGTATTAATGACAAGGTATTCTTAAAAAAAGTCTCTTGCACATTGGAAACACAATACTGTGTCTGGAGCACATGTGAATATAATCTGAATCTGAATTTGCAATGGAAACCCTTCTAAACATATTCGCTTTATAATAATAATCCTTGCATTTGATACAGCACTTTTCACGTCTTCGAGACGTCTCAAAGCGCTTCACAGAATATACTGTGAAGTGAATTGACTGTGTAGTTGTGGGCAAAACGCGGCAGCCAATTGCGCACAGCAGCATCCCACAAACAATCGTGGATTGAGTGACTAAATTATTATTGTTTTTTTTCTTGAGGCATTATTAACAGGTGTGGAGTGAGGAAACTTGCCCAAAGTTTCGCCCTGCTGGGAATCGAACCCAGGTCTCTTGCTTCCACCATTATATATTTATACACCGTTCGGGTACCAGAAACAGGGTTTGAAATGAATATTTCAGTAAAGAACGTGAAATTATATTTATAGCCACCGTACGGCTAACACATAGGCTAGCCTAGGATTTCTCTCTTAAGACAGTGCAAGGCTGATATTTTCATACCACATTAAATAGGGGTAAGCTGTAAGCTGAGAAGAAAAGTAAAAGGATTTGGCATTTCATGAAATCTATATTAATTTCTGTATTTTACTCTGGCTGTTATAATTATTAAAATCTAAGCACTTATTTTAAAATGAAAGCAGAATTATTAATTGCTTGTAATTTTGCAGTTGGGCTAGTGTTGGGCGCCTAGCGTTTGACCACAAGAGTAGTACAATCCACAGGTCAACTGTAGCCATTTTTGGAGTGGTTCCGATGTCTTGGAGGGCCTGCCAACTGAAACCCGTCATGGCCACTAGGATTTCCTTTCTCAAACAGCTGCGGACTATATTACATCTGACATGATGAGCGTCTTTCGACTCTACCTTTCAAAATTTCGGCAAACCATTTTCTCACTGTCGTTCACAAAGATGACATTTTCGGCAGCGTGATAGGAAAGATGTCACGTTGGTTGCTTTTCAAGTCTTTGTCACAGTGGTTAGCACCAGCTCTGTCAGCTTCACTCTCCTCACAGTCTCCTATCTCGGGCCATGTCAGAAATAATAATATTTCCAATGGCTTTTGTCAAAAATATACAATTAATCAGACCATCGCTACACAGCTTTTTCGTATATTAGTGGATCTCTCATGGGAATATTATGTTAAATTAATACATCTGGATGTGCGCAGTTGCAGTTTGGTTTAATTGTACGAAATGAGAAATGTTAATAATTAATTGAATTCTCGTTTTGTCATGTTTAAAGTAACACTGACGAAAAACCAAACCCAACGTTACAACGAGTGTTACCTAATATTTGTACAAATTTAAATAAAGAGGTAGATGTATTATGCACATCGTTTGTCTGAGAAGAGTATGACACAAATATCGCATGAGGTGATCTACAATTAGCTATGAGAATTACCTTTTAAAACAGCACCTTAGTCAGTATTTACTGACCCTTGAACAATAATCTTTGCGCTTCATGGTGCAGTTCTGCATGTAACAACATTTTCCATTACTTCTCATCCTACCCCTCCACCACAAAAAGTATGCAAGGGACAACATAAAGAAAAACATTTTTTAAGAATGCTTAGCTGAAGCACTTTTAAATGTGCTGTAAGGGTTAAAGATAATATGTGCATACATTTTGTGTAGACAAACCTTTGTTACTCTCTGCATTGACATTGATCAGCTAGCAAGACCATTTCAGTGTACTGGAACCTAGGACACAAGCTAGTTAGTTTCTTCTTGGTGACAGCTTGTCATTCTGTCAGTCTTGACCTTCAGGCTGTCCTGTAACATTTGAATCACATTCGCTCTCTACTCTCTGACTGACTGCAAGCTACTGTTGTCTCACTGTCTGACCCAATAATAACACAATACAAACAGACAACTTACTGCAACTCCACCACATGAAAAGATACCGTCTATCCCTAGCACATATTAAAATCTACATGCAGTTAGACCTACATTTGACCCTGTTTATTTCAATATCAATGCCTGCATTCATTTTTCAAGAGAAACCATCAATTTTTTTGTATAAGAACTTTCTGTGCTCAGGATTGTTCTCTGATTATCCAGCGGGTGTGAAGGGTGACTTTAAATGATTGTTATATTATTATAAAGCTTTAATTATAATCGGTAAATTCTGATCTCTCATTCAATTTACCACAATGCTTTGTAGGGATGTAATGATTACATTGCATACTTAAGTATAACTTCACTGCAGTTAACTAAACATATTATTACACCAAGGCTTTAATTCAGGTATGACTTGAATAGTCTATTGACCATGTTGTCAACATTTCCTGGTTTAAGACTTTTTTTTTTAACCCTGTTGTCTTTTGTCAACATATTGTTCCATTGTTTAATTCTTCATTCATGGAAAGTGCTGTTTGCAGTGTTCTCTGATAGTTACAGAGGGCTTCGTGAATGATTTTCTAAAAATATATTTTTAAGCTTTGGATACGCTTGCCAAATTCAGCTCATTGTTTAAGCAAATTCCTCCACAGGGAATTGCGGATCACCATGATTACTTGAGCAGGAGAGATAAAGCAGGTAAAGAAAGGATAATCATTCATACACATAATTAAGCAGAAAGCAGGTAGGCTTGTCGGCTTTTCTATTCCTTGTTGGGTTATTTCAGGAATACCACAATTCAATACTGAGAGGTCTTCCTTAGCCCAAATTGTACTTCTCTGTGATTACTATTAAGTTACTGTTCATCATAACCTGCAAAATCCTACTAATTTACATTACTAAATGAATATGTAAATAGTCGATTAGTGTCCTAACATGTTGTGATGGGGCATGAATTTGCCTTGCAACTTCCCCGTAGCCACTTGGAAGAATTTGGGTTGGTTATCAGAAGGATTGCAGAATAAGTGAGCCGATTGCCACAAAGTAGGGTAAAACTTAGCGGCTAAGTCAACCTAGGCCTCTTCCATGCTTTTTTGTGGCCTGGGGAGAGGTCACCAGCCAACCTTGTGGTCGGAGATTTGTGTGCTGTGAGGAGGAGCAGGATGAGACCCTGCGGAGAAGGACTAAATTAACCCTTTATTCCCATAAGTGCATATTGTTTCCCAATTTCCAAGAAAGTGCTTAGATCTGCTAATATTTTCTACCAAACTTAGGAAATGATGTTTAGCCTTTCTTAATTACTTTTACTTCACCAGCTTCTAACACCATACACTTACCTTTTTGGTTCAGCTTTTGGTTGCGACTTGGAGTCCTTTCTAGAACCTTTTCTAGACTCCTTTTTGTCCTTTTTAGAGTCACTGTCTGGCTCATTGGCTGAGGGACTGGCTGATTTGTCCCCCTCTCCCTCTACACTTGGCTGTGCCCCCAGTAATGCAACTTTCTCTCTTTAAAGGCAGTTGTGATGGAGAAAACGAGAAACGGAACCAAGAAAGCGTGAAAGAAAGAAAAAAAACAGCAGTGCAACAAACTGAAGTCAACATGGAAAAAAAAATCAGTGGGAGGAAAGAAGTTTTTTTTAAAATGAAAGTTCCACTTACGATAAAATGCAACAAAATCAAAAGAAAATTAAATGGNAAAAAATCCACAGTATACTCAGCCCATGTGCCTATACGTATCAATTCACATAAAAGCCCAGAATGAATGGAACTCAAATAAAACTGGTGGGGATTCTTCATATAAACTATTTTTCAGAATATTCCACTATAAATACTAACTTCAAACTTGAGCCACGTTATGGGAACTTGTACCAATTATTTTACATTAAAGTCTACGGGATGACCTACTTTCAAATCTAATACACAATATATCATTTAAAAACATCGTATCCTAACATAAAGCAGACATCATGGAAAATATATAACCTAATCTTTGGCCAGCTGTCTCATTTCTCTCATTTTGAAGATATGTGGTTGTCATTCATACACATACAAAATTACTAATAAAACACAATGCAGCATCTGAGATATCGGAGTAAATGATGGTCTTTCTGGAGACATAGACTGCCCATTTTCCAGAAAGGAAAGTAGCTGTATAAGCTGGGACTGCACACCCTCTCAATGAGACTATTCCTCATTTACCTGGAGTCTGTTTCAGCTTGATTTGGAATATAAGTCCCGCTGTTTTGCTTCAGTTGCAATTCTGATTCATTATTTCATAATAAATTAAAAGGAAAAAGGCTATTGTTATACTAAGATCAGTTTATGTGCCATTGTGGAATGGAAAAGGGTCATAAAGGCTTCATTGTGGGCTTGTCTAACATGGGAAGGTATTGCAATGTATCTGTTTATCTTATCTGTGCCAGAACCACTGACCAAGAACCATTGGTTTGCTCCACTGTGTTTGCTACAGTCTCATATTAGGATGTTATTGAAGTCTACCTGTTGCCATGTACATGAGAAGCACAGAAGGCAAAGCTGTAGTGAAGCAGGGTTGGGTCAATCATTGCTCCATTTTCTGCTCTTTCAAGCAAATCGTTGAGGTAGCAAAGATGTCTGTGACAGCCTCTGGTTCCGTAGCGTGCACAGTATTCATCCAGTACAAACACCTGGCCTGGACTAAACCAGCCCTAAACAACACAAAACCAAAATCTCTCAAATACAGTTTTGTGCATGGATGGAAAAAGCATATGATACAATAAACCCTCAAAAATCAAGAAAATTAATATACTGTGGCATACCATTTGAACTGGATTTCCAAGATTAGTTCCCATACAATTTAATGCTGCATTCTTGTTACAGAACCATTTGTAGAAGCAATTTTCCGATGTAATGTAAGTACTGGGGGAAGAGGGAAGACTGGGAAATGTGCCCCATTTATGATGCAGGGTGACCAGGAACAGAAAGTTTGGTTCACTCAGAATTGGGTTCAACTGAGATTCACATCGACTGGTTGCATAGTCTATTAACTGTCTATTAATGTCACACGATAAAAATGAAACCTTCAAGGAAGATGAACATTGACTGGGATGTAAAAATATATTAGAACTTGTCTATATATTATTTTGTAATTTTTTGTTTTTCCTCCTTATGGGGAACAGATTTACTTTTTTATTTACTTAGGACAGAATGACAGCAATATCGCCTCAATGCACTTGTCCGACTCTTGTGAACTATTGAGCAATGAGGAAGAATGAAGAGAGGCTAGATGGTAGAATCTTAATGGGGTGAAGGAACAGAGAGACCTGGCGGTTCATATAAGTAAATCTTTGAAGGTGGCAGGACAGGTAAATAAAGCTGTTAAAAAAGCATACGGGATACTAGGCTTTATAAATAGGGGCATAGAATACAAAAGTCAGGAAGTTATGATGAACCTTTATAAAACACTGGTTAGGCCTCAGCGAGCTGAATAAGGAGAAACTATTTCCACTGGCGGGTGGGTCGGTAACCTGAGGACACCGATTTAAAATAGTTGTTAAAAAAAGAGAGGCGGTGAGGAGAAATTTTTTCACACAGCGAGTTGTTCGGATGTGGAATGGTTCCCTGAAAGATTGGTGGAAGCTGATTTGATAACAACTTTTAAGAAAGAAGTAGATAATTATTTGGTGAGGACAAGTTTGCAGGACTATAGGGAGAGAGCGGGGGAATGGGATTGATTTGGATAGTTCTTTTCAAAGAGCCGCCACAGACATGATGGGACGGATGGCTTCCTTCTGTGCTGTATAATTCTATGATTCTATGATAATGTACTTGCCAGGCAGGAGTAGGAATCATTAAGTCTGTGATCCAGAGTCAGCCTCTGCAGCATCTCAAAGAGCGAAGCGTGGTCAAAAACACAAGGATTGGCAGAGATAAATTCATCCATCCCGTGCTTCTGCGCTCTGTCTGCATCTGTTTGCCAGGCACATATACAGAAAATAACATATGTTAGAACAACACAACAAAGCTTTGGACTCAGTACACAAGACTGAGCAAGCTCCTCAGGATTAGTGACCCCTAACTACTCTGCCTCAATTCATCTTTGACATCTTCCTTTGCAAAAAAAATCTCATGCAATGGATTCTGTCACTCTGGGGCAAGGTATTCAATTACAATGTCACAGAAATATCAAATATAATGCATACTATCCAACCCCCTACAACTAGTTCTGTACTGTCTTTGCAACCCATTCATTGTTTATTTCTTCCTGCATCATATTCTTTCACAATAGATTCTGCCATTCCACAGAATGTAATACTAGTTCATTTTATTTAAGAATTTTTTTTTGCTGCAGGTACCATGGAAACAAATACAGCCAATTGATATGACAGCTGAACTTTTACACTGTCCAGTAGCTCATTTAAGCCACAAAGGGTTTTACGTCAAATTTTAACTTCATGAAGTGAAGTTGCGTCACTTAAAAAAAAATTCTTTAATTCTATACAAGTAAAAGGAATTGGATTTGTTTCACAAGACAATTCATCTTAAAATGATCTGCCAGTGTAAAAACTATGACTGAAAACAAAATAAAAGGTTGCTTTGCTTGAGAGCCCATATTTCTCAACCCACATCCCAAATAATGTCAATAAATGAATTATGTTGGGCAATGTTATTGGGTGGCATCCCGGTGTCGTTCCGGGACGCCACCCCGCGTAAAGGGTGCTATTTAAATGCAAGTTGTTGTTGTTATAATTTTTGGTTTCTCAGCTAATTGTTTAGAATTAGATAATAATACCCCAAAGGAACTGGTGAGACAGAAGAAAAAGAAGCAAGCTCAGGCATTTTATTTGGTGGCAATTGTGCCAGTCCAGTCCTGAGTGCCTGGGTTTTCCAGGTTGCTGAAGTGCACCTCCTGGTGGATTGGTCAAGTATTGCACTGACAGCATCCTTGGAGAAATTAGTGGGGTGGGCTAGGTCAAACCGGGCTGTTCTACAATTTGGACCGAGTTGGATTGCACAGGTAGAGGACCTAACTTGTACTGGAGCAAGAGAACATAATAAAATGATTAGAACAAAAGGAAGTAATGCTAACAAGTTATTTTAAATACATGTACATTATTTTGTATATTTTCAATATGCAAAATGATATAATTTTTCAAATCAGGTTAATGGTAGCAATGAAATCAGGAAAACATAATAATTCTTTATAGCCCAAATGAGTTTGGCAACGAAGGTAAACTCATAGATGGTTAATAGAATGCAATGAAATTATATACAATACTTCATTGCAGATTAAAAATGATTTCATGAAGGAAAGCAGTCTGGCACTGTTATATCTGCACTGTTAAGCAAAAAGACAAAAAGAACTGGCACAGCAAGAGTTGCATTCTGCCATTTACTATGAATTAATGGAGTAAGAGCATTCATGCTTTTCTTTTCATACTAAGCCTGTAGGCTCAACCACCTAAGGACTAACTAATTAATCTCATCATGCGTAGCTAAGATACTGTAATCAGCCAAAGAAATAAAAACAGAAGCCATTCTAGGTGTGGTCAGATGCACCCTAGTTACTTGATAGTTCTGTATGTGTTATTCAACTGCTTGTTAAGTACATTTACCTTTCCATTATGTGGGCTTTCCCCAGATCCTGACTCAAATAAGGGATGATTCTTTCATCCCTCTGTTTCCTAGCACTGTTTTGTAGGTCCCTAGCATTTGGTTTCTATACAGGCCAAAGTGTTATTCATTTGTAAAATTCCCAAAGTATTAATGTTCATGTAATAAAGGTAACAAATGAGTTTTGACAAGTGTCATTAATGTCCAAGACTATGAGAAGATTCTGTTCAGGAAAAAGCAACTCATATTGAAGCACTGCTTAGGTTAAACCAATAATGGGTTAAAATGGGTTAATCCTGCAAATTTAGAACAAAATGTAATAATAAAAGGAGCATAACAAAAGAAATGGTTTAAATCCTTTTTATTGTGAATTTATATGAACAATGGTTTCCAAATTGGTCACTTTTATCTGAAAATGTGTTATTTTATGAATGTTCACATTCCCAAAATAGGGAAAACTAGCAAAACACATCAGCATTGATCAATCATTATTGTCTATGATTTTGATGTAAATGACTTAAATTCTGTGAAGTTCTATCAACACAAATTAAATTTGTGAATAAAATGCAGAAAAGCATTTAGCATTAACATTGCAACTCCCTTACCAATTGACAATGTGATGAAAATTAATAGATTTAAACGTTTCAGATACATTACCATTAATATAACAAGATTGTTGCAAAATTTAAATATCAAAAGACTAACTGAGAAGCTGTTAAAGCGATTCTTTGATCAAAATGCACAACAATATGTGACATAGAAAGATAAACCAGCTGTTTAAATGCCAACTGTTCGAACTTTGAAAATGGAACTTTGTTTTAATTCATGTGCATTTTTTCTAAAAATCTCCTGGTGCACATGTTCATTTTGACATGGACAATAATGCACTATCCCAATACCACATTGTCAGTGCTTCATACTGTATTACTAGACCAAATCACTAGTACTGGCAGAGAATTACACTCTCTCCCCCCAACAAAAAATTCCTTTTCTTTTCTGATGACAACAATTCTCATGCATTCTAATGACAGCCTTCCTGCACAAGTCAAAGTATAGGTCAAAGACATTTAGTTCCACAAACGTTATTGTGTCGGACACATTTAATCATGTGAGTGGTTTCCAGAGTTTACCATAGGATTGGATTCAGGTAGCACTGTGAAGCAGGGTTACTGATATTTTATTTCTGCTATTCAGTACTAAAAGGATGGTCTCGCTGGTGATAGGCAGTTATTAATGTACTTTGGAGCATGTTAACCCTTTGGGTACTGTGTGGTCGTTGACGTTTTCAAAACCCCTTGTAAATGTGTAAACCTGTGCCATGTCTAGGGATTATTTTGTGTTAGAGTCTTCAATTTAGTATTATAATGTCGAATTGAAGATCTGCATCAGCAAGTAAACTAAATAAAATAGTTTTGTTGTTTTGATGGAAAAATGCAGAAAGGTCAATTCTGAGTAATTATTTGCCTACTAGTTAAATGTAAAGAAATGTGTAATTACCAAAGGTTTGATTTCATTTTCATCTACAGAAAATAACCAGTTATAATTTTTTATAGTATTCAGTTATTCATAACAAATATTTAGCCTATTCCAAAACAATAATCATAGCCTTTTACTGACGAATGGGTCTAATATACAATGTTCATTGGTTTTAATGCCTTTATAACAAAAAAAATTACCATTTTTAGTGAGTGACATCTGACTAACACTGTTTAGCTATAAACCCACAAGAGACGTGGTTTCATCACAATTATTCATAGCCGATGGGTTTAATAAAAATGTGCAAATAACACCCAAACTTAATACAACACCTCTGTGTAGTGGTAAGTGGAACTATTAATTTCTTAGCACACTATGATTTTTTCTACAAAATCCATACTATATTCAACTTTATATTGATAAGTAATGTTCAGAAATGCTAATGTGTGTGACAAACCATAATTTACTAGTAGATGTATTTGAGAATCTCATCACAATTTTAGATGGAGTGCAATTGGAGTTCACTATGGCAAATGTTAGAATCAATGGCATTTTAAAACAAAATGGGAACCCTTTGAACTGTAATGAATTAAATAAACAGAATTATTGGAAAAACGGGTCAATCTGTTTAATGAGTCACAGTAATATGACTGCTATCTGCCCTTTAAAACAAAACAAAACCTTACTACGTTTTAAAAAATCGTAAACATTTTTTAAAACTTTTATTAAAAAACGGCTGAATTATTAGAAGAAAAATGTGGTACTGCAAGAAGACTTTAAATTACAATCGATCTGAATTAATATTAATCTAAGTTAACCAAAATATCTCAACCAAATTATTTTGGGGCTTGTTAGCAGCATACCCAGACAATTAATTCTATTTGTGCAAATTATTAAAATTTCTTGCAGGAAGTTCACAATGAGATGTCAGACATGGAAAAGGTGACTTTCCATCACAGTCCTCTGGTAAATGCGCACATGTCATATCTCTTTGACATTAAAAGAATGAAGATCTGTTTTGGACAATAACAAACAATGACACTAGTCAACCTCAGCTGGAGAAGTGAAAAGAAGAAATGACAATGATTGATGGCAGCTATCCATTTTCAGATACTAGCTGCAAGAGTGTTTTGTGGGGACTGAAGCTCTAATGAGAAACTGATCTAGATTATTTTGAGCAGTTTTGTAAATGTAAATATCAAAGATACGCACCTTTTTGCTTTCACCGTCATGATTACAGATTCATAAATTCATCCAAAAAAATCCCATGATTTAAAAAAAATGTTTTTTTTGTAAAATGTAAAAATTTTTGTTGGCCTGGGCGACATTCTCCTTGTCACATTCCAGCACTCTAATAATACATTTCAAGATTTGAGGCACACAATAAGGATATGGTGGGGATACTGCAGGACACCATGAGTTTTTTACTTAATGGTTCAGTAAAGCTAATGACATATTTTCAGCAGGGCTCTTTAAGATGTTATAATACCAGTTGTTCTTTTTCCACTAAATACTGAAAAATGTCAGAAAATGCACTGCAAATCAGTCAGCAGGCAGGTTTTATATGCAGGTCGTTCACAAAAGGGGATACCGACTGTGAAATTTATACTCATCACTTCTCTTTTTTTTAAAAAAATTGAATTTTATTTCAATATTCTCTTTAGTTCAAGAGCGTCAATTTGATAAACACAGATGAAAAAAAATTAATTAGAAAATTTCCAGATTTGGTACTCACATGGGTTGTTTTTCAAAAATGGCACCTTTAAACTACGTGGTTTATAGTGTACTGCAGTTAAGAAAAATCATGCAAGCTAAATGGATTCATTAATTTCACTAGTCTAGTACTGCATTCCTTCAATGTAACGATCGCAATTTGAAAATACTAAAACATTATAGCAGTGTACTGATGGTAAAATATGTAGCATTTAAAGCATACAAAACTACTAAACAAATCTAATAGGATAGCAACAATTTTTGGTGCAAATACACGGAGACTAATTTTGCATTTGTTTCCATTATACCAGTGTCAAAAGCACTGCTGCTTATCACCAATACCCTGTATTTCCACCAAGAAAATGCACTACAGCAAAAGTAAACCAAAATACAGAATATTTGTCAGGCATCAAACAGAAATAAAAACAAGGTCGGTCTTGAGTGCTGGAATTTTCTGCCTGTTAAGGTAAGTTTATGAGTAAACAGGAGTATTTTTCATGGTAAGGAGGTAGTTCATCACCTACTCCTCGGTTTTGCATTCGGAATACTCCCAATACATATTTGCCAACTCCCACAACTTTTGCTATTGCCTCCTATGAGTAAAACCTGCATTAACTAAACTCCATGCAATAACTGCTGATTCCGTCATCTTCATTAAAAAGACCATGAACATCGTAATTAATGTAAATGGATGAGATGTGAAAAGTGAAAAAATGTTTTCTCTTGCCAATTTTTTTAGCCAATTTTTTTCTTCCTTCTGTTTCCTCTCCCAAATGCACTTGACTCATTTTCTCTTGTGCTAGGGTTCAGTTTCATGCGTTTTCTGGTATCCCGCCTGTGCTTATTTTTACTGTAGGTGCCTTAATTGAGCATAGTCAAGCTATTCAAGCACGACGGGCGTTTCAGCCTAGCCTGATCCTGTCTTCACATCATTCACTGTATGGCATCTGCAAAAGGGATCAGGAACAGGGATCCTGGTGGAATTTTCTTTTAAAGCTACTTTAGAATCCACTTTAGTTGAGCTTAAGAGTAAGCCTTGTTGGATATCCAAAGCGATATCGATTAAGATAGTCTAGAGAAAAATTACAGTTATACTATTTTTTGTTTTATGGGGAGGGAGGAAATCTAATTAGAGCTGCACTCTTAGTGTTTTGCTAGGCTGATTTCAAGAAGACAGGAAAGATTATTTGAAAAGTGTTTTCAATGTTGTGCAGTGCATATTTGTGACACCTTGCATTGCATAATAGCTGTGTTTCTACACGTGCTAATAGCCATGTAACGCAATGCACTTTGATAAGTATGGAGGGAACCCAAGCAGTCAGAACTGATTTATAAATGTGGAATTTATTTGTTGTGCTTATCCTGGCAGCAGAGTATAATTACCACAGTGGTGTTAATCATTGCTGTGGAGAACAAGCATTATTCTATCATTGTGTAAAGACAATCTGTTTCAAGTATTATGCAGTCAATTAGCTGTACAGATAATTGAACAAATATATTACTGACATCTTTTTGTGATGTTAATTCTTGTTTACTTTGCATGGAGGTTAGAAAATGTTAATAAACATCTAAGCCTTACTGAGAGGAGCCTTTGATACCCAACATGAAAGCCAGAGAGTGGGCAATTATGCACACACCGCATGCATCTGGATTGGCAGTATGGAAGCTTACATGTCAAACCTAAATTCAGGAAATATGAAGTATTAAACTACAGATTCTAAACATGATAGATTTGAGAAAAAAAACACACTGCATTTGTCAGATAATCAGTGCTGATTATCTGACCTGTGCCAGCTACAGGGAAGCACTTACCCTTTAGTCCAGCTAGAAGTTAGCAGGGTAAGAAGGAACAAACCAGAACAACATAAAGACTAGCAACAAGGCTCAGGAAAGCAGATAGGAACCCTAACCTAGCAGAAGGTAGTGTCATTCAAAGTACTAGGGTTCAAGCAAAGAAAAAGAAAACACAACAGAACATCTAGCAAAACACTTCTCTTCTGGTTTAAACTGCCAAGAAATGTTAATATCACACAGATAAAAATGTAACAGCTTTGCATACACAATACATAAATTGTAAGATGCTCCAGTTTGTAAGCTAGCAGTTGCCAATTATTCAATGCAGTTTGTATTGTTAGAATTGGCTGTGGCTGAAATCTGTAACTGTACAAAATACATGGGTTTTAATCAGGACTTCTAAGAACTGAGTAAGAACTGTCTGTCACATTCATACAGCACTTTTGATTGGAGACTGCAAATCAACACAGAAACCTTTGATAACCTATGAAGATCAGGAACAAAACTAAATGCAAAATATTTTTTATATATAAATGATTCAAGGTTTTCCTCCCTTCATTAAATATGACTAATTGGCAGCATGAAATCTTTTTACTCCACTCTCGATCTGTACGTTTGTAACACAACAGATGTCATTTTAAACAGGATTCTTTAAGGTGAAATATGCCCACATGCAGGAATTTAATTATCAAATAAATAGGACAAGTAGGCAGCTGGCTGGATATGTATTTGAAAAGGTCAAACTAAAGTCTAATATAAAAGATAATGGTCTGTTTACAAGAGGATTCTGTACAATGGTTACTTGATATATAATTTCAAAATGTACACTTAGATGAGTTCCTTTCATCATGATTATTAATTTTATAAATTTGTGCATCACCAATATGCTACAGGTAAATGCTACAATTGCAGATTGAAATCTCCATTGGAATAATATTGTTTCATTAACAATCTAACGTTAAAATTAATATACAACAACACTGTACAAAAAGGAAAATCAAATTTGGTAACGCAGAAATTGCCTATGCCTATAAATGTTTCAGCTAATGTACAGAAAAGTGTACATAATGACAACCTAGATGTGGCAATTTCCAAAGGGATTCCTTAATAAAAGAAACCAAATGGAGACTCCTTCCAGTGACTGGGAAGTGGGCTATGCAAAGCCATGCAGAAATTTTGCTCTGAGAAGTGGATTGATTGCAATTGAACAGAATGCCTGAGAGTCTATATGCCATACTTACTGTTTCCTTATTGAAGAATTCCATTGGAAATCATGTTTGGCTCTATTAGATTGGCACCCAACAATTTTATTTTAATGTTTATATCATATTTTCATACAAGTTTCTTTATCTGGAAGTTGTCTTTTACAACCCACTCACCCACAAGATCAGTTCAGATGAAGGAGGCCATTCAGTTCTAAACCCGTGTTATTTTGTTCTACTGTCTTGCTGCGTCATCTAGCATTGTTCTGGGTTTACTTTACCAATCCCTTTTAAAATATGATATTCCTCTATAAGGTCCCCATTGATAGTTAAAGAGTTAGTTTATACAACAATGGGTTCATTCCAGGCAGGGCGAAACTTTGGGCAAGTTTCCTTACTCCACACGCCTAATAATAATCCCTCCAAAACAAAACAATAATTGGTCATTTTCAATCCACGACTGTTTGTGGGACACTGCTGTGCGCAATTGGCTGCCGCATTTCACCCACAAATATACAGTCAATTCACTTTACAGTCTATTCTGTGAAGCGCTTTGAGACGTCAAGAAGACGTGAAAAGCGCTATATCAAATGCAAGGATTATTATTTATTATTATTATTAACAATTCCTTTCCTAGGTTTATTGAGAACGTGCATACAATTGATTACTAGGTAATTCTGTGGTTGGGACTATTTTAGGCAAATCTTAGTTCAATAGAAACCCAAGGCAAAAAAAAATCTCAAAATATTTTACAGCAACTTCTTTCCTAGTCTACAAACGTTATCAAATGCTTGTGTGTTGACTTGCTTCCTCTTTAACCCTTTGACTGTTGTTTCAAAGATCATGATTGAATTGGGACATAGCAAACTTCATATATTTACACCTACTTTTGTGTAAGCATCTTCCTTAGGCGTTCTATCAAAGAGGGACTGTATAACTGGAGGGGTATGGCACATCTCCACAGAATTTACAACACGTTTTCATACTGAAAGTGTTCACCACATTGGAATGCTTTGAAAGTGAAACCATCCAGTGAATTCTCTACAGATGTTGGCCTACACTCGTAGATGATCCATGTCCTTTCTTTAAGGGAGTCAAAGGGTTAACAGGCAGGGTGTTATTGGACTGCCATAATCAGTGTGGGTTCACTTACTCTATTAAACATTCAACACAATTAAACAGCAAACTGACTTAAACAAAGAGCACAGTTTTAAATTTCACCTGCCAGGAAGACATTATGCCTCATTTACAGCGTATTCTGTGAAGCGCTTTGAGACGTCTAGAAGACGTGAAAAGCGCTCTATCAAATGCAAGAATTATTATTATTATTATTATTACCTCAAAAAAGACCTACTGAAAACTCTGAACAGGGGCAAAAATCTAAATTAAATCTAATAATTTACTCTAGTAATGAAATATTCGTACTATAAGGTACTTACTCTATTAAGCATCAACACAATTTTACTGTTGTCCAATTTTATAATAACTACTGTGTTGCACAATATCTTTAATTTCTCCAGCAGGTACCCAAAGCTTAATTTAATACATAAGCAAACAGTTTATATATTGTTACAGAGAACAATCAATGTAATTTTTTTAAAAAATAAGTCTTTAAATTTACAACTAAGGCTGGATTGTTAGCTGACATGAATAGCAGGATCTATTATTTTAAGCTTAAGACAATTTTTTGTTTTGGTGACCAAATAGTTAGGATCACACACATACAGTAATAATAGAATATTGCCCAGTTGGAGTTTGACTTTAGCTGAAATGTTTTAATATTAATGTTCACTTATTCCTTATACATGAACACAGCTCAATCAATATCAGCTATTCTACACCAAAGTGCAGCACTTTTAGAAGTTTATAATTTACGACTTTTCTGTTTAAATGCGGATACTAAATGATCCCATGATCATGCTGGTTATAAAGACCCACACTTACTGGTGTCTTTCAGGACACCTCCTGCCAACCTCTTCAATGTTTCTGATCGATTCATTAAAGGGCAGCTTGGGAGCAACCATTCCAGGTATAACTCCCTTCCTGTGACATCATGAAGTTCCGAGGCCTGAAGTTCCACCTAATCTTAGCCAGGAGGATCATTTTGTGGCCGTTTGTTTTAAGAACTGTGGAAAAGCTTCTTCCAAATTAAGAAGCTGAAAATAAAATATTTTTCCGCAACTCTGCGTGATTGTAGATTTTCTGACTAGGTAAAATTTCGAGCCTGTGGATGGTAAGCAACAGCCCTTCTTCATGATGTTAGAGGAGGAGAATTTCTACTTACAATCTCCACCCCCAAGCTATTTCAGTTGGCAGATCTAAATGAGGCAACAAGAGACAACTGAGATGCTCCATTAAAGGTGCCTCGATTTAGAACATAGAAATGCACTTCTCCTTTAAGTATAAAAATACACACATTGTTCAAATCATTTTCTTGTCTCAAACTTTCAGTTCCAGTGTTAGTAGAATCACATTCATACACATTCAAAACAGAAACATATTTGAAGGGGGGAACGAAAAGCTAATTCTACATTAAAAATCTAAAAATAACCTACTTTTGCGCCCATTGAATATTACTAGAAAAAGAACTGAAATTAAGAAGTCATGCGACATGCAGGTTTGACATAAATATGGTGAGTAACTTACAAAACTGGGAGATGGGAGCATCCAACTGTGGTATGTTTCCTCCCTTGGCATTGAGTTTTTGGACTTGGGTAGGAGGCACAGGCTTATGGGATTGACCAGTTGCACGATACATAGCCTGAACCCAGAGGATACGATCCTGTTCATCATCACTGGCAAAGATCACTGTGTCGCCTTCTTTAACTGCATTAAAGAATGTTCTGCCACCTTCCAAACCTAGATATTGAATCATTAATAATTATGTGAAGAGTATACAGTCAGCCACGCCACTAAATCAGCAGACATTACTTAATTCACCGTTTTCGACTTTCTACTAAATATTGGCTCATAGAAAGATTTTTAAAAATAAGGCAAGTTATCACAGTAAATTCTACAACATCTGGGAAATTAATTGGATGGCTGGATACGGAGGTGGAGTTAGGAGAGGACAGGAAAGAGAGAGACAGAGTGAGAGAGAGAAAACATCAAACTCTTGATTGGAGCAATGCAATGAAGGGAAAAAAAGGCAATACTGTTGGGGTGAAAAAGCATTAGTCAAACAATTCTGCACAGAAACATTTAAATATGGAAAGAGTTTCAAAATTTCTGTCTAGAGATCTAAAAACAACCTACTTTTGTGCTCATTGAATACTGTCATTGACACACGTGCACAGAAATATATAGAAGAAAACTGGAAAAGTTACAAGGGAAGTACAGGATAAGTCTAACCAGGATGTGAGACACAGCACTGCTAAGGAAGTAATGTTCCACTGGACTCCATTGCAACTGGTATACTAGCACCACATACAGATCACCGTTGCTGCAACACTAACTAGCCCATTGTAGAAGCCAAGCTGACTAAAGGGTATAAAGAAAGGGGGAGCTTCACAAGGGTTCTGAACAGACACAAGAATAAGACCAACAGGGAAAGGAAAGCCTCTTACCGCCGCTATTGTTTTGCCCCCCATGGAATGTTGTGTTTCAGTGCTGCCTCATGGGACACTGGCCTAATGATTAGTTGGAATTACTGGCTGGTTTGGACCGCAATTTTTGGTAATATGATTCTATCACAAGTGCTAATTATCACATATGGTACAATTTTCACCCAAGTATAACAAAAATTGAAAATAATAGCTAGATACAACCACGGAAATGTCTCCGTGATAAGTCTGTGTGAAGTGTCCTATTGCCCAGCTCTCTCCAACTCTTGCCGTTGGATTGATTTAACAGTTGTGCACTGAAGCTTTTCACCTGGCTGCGGGTCAGTGTAATCCACTGTGTAACCATCCAACTGCAACAGTTCCTGAGGCTCAGCTTTCTTCTCCCGGTAACTGCACATTGCAAACGTGTACTGGCTGACCTAAACAGACAAGTGGACAAAAAGATAATTTAAAAAAAACTCACGACAGAAACAAAATCCACCTGCTCCATATCATTGCTTTAAAACAATACAGCCAAACAGAAATATTGCATTTCAAAAGAGGTTTTGTGAAATTTAGGGAACATTTAACAATGCTCCACGCAGGCCAGCAACACCGCAATGCTTATCCTGGGCTGGTGTCACTGTACATTCAAAACACAGTGCCAGCCCACACCCCTGATGCTTTTAGTCATTGTTTATGGCTGATTTTGTTAAGTGGAATCTCCGATTTTCCGGTGTATCCCTCCAGGGAGACAATGCACATTCCATTCCAACAATTATCTCTGGAATTTCCATGTGTAGGTGGGATGCATGGAATTCTCTGAACCTAGTAAAAAAAACTGCCATGTCATTCTGGTTTTCCTTCTGAAAAGCCGGGTTTCCTGCTAAAGAAAAATGGAGCAACAGGAGTGCTTGTGAAAAGGGAATTAGATTAAAAAGAGGAAATGAATAAGGCTCAAATTAAACTGAGCATCAAGCTGATAGGATGCCCAGTTGTGAAGGGTATTGGGAAAACAATCACAACACTATTATATATATATATAGATAGCAGCACTTGGTGTGAATATGTAGTTTTGAAATATGCAGGCAGTAAATACTAGAGCTGCATTAGCAAAATAAAAATATGCAATTGTTGTAGATGAACACTTCATTTTGCATGTTTATTTTTAATATGCTGTCGATTGATTTATGCACTGTAAAATATCCGCGCAGCACAGCTGACAATAACACGTAGCTGCTCAACTTGTGATTTTTTTTTAAAAAAGGAGTGAAACACTTGCAAGGACTCTGAACTATGGTGTTGTGCTGGGGCTATAGCTTGTGCTGATGTTCGTCCACTCTATCATTCAGATCAGACAAGTTTAGGAGTGACACCCTGTCACAAACAATGTGAGTTGACCGGCTTGGTGCCAGTCATGTTTAAGCAATCCTTAAATCTCAGTGATCAGTGCAATTGTTGTCAGAACTGCTGTAAATGGCAGCTCTCACTCCTCTGAGTTTGCTTCTGGATGACACGATGAATTCAATGTCATGTTCTTGATGCAAGTCATTGAGCTGGAGGGCCTCTTCCAGGCTCTGTGAGCCTCAATGTGCCTTCAGGACACCATCAGGCCGCATCAGACCCCAGCCAGCGTTTGGCAATGAAGTTTTGGATTGTCTGAAAGGAAATGCTGTTAGAAAACACAGGATTATCCGTGCTCCAGGCGATGTGCTTACTCAGTGTGCTCCTGCATTTCAAAAGTATAGTGATTAACTTCTACTGCAAATTAGTGTCTTTGGAAAACCTTGATAAAGCTACAGTTAGCTTTTATCAAGAACATTTTTTAAACACTTTTAACACTTTAATGACCTCTCACATGAAATATGTGGGATTTAAATAATCTGTGCAGAACAGCAGCTTTTACATGAAATGAGGAAAGAATAATGCATTGGTGAAATTATTTCTACCGATCTATGGGCAGTGTCAACAGAGTGGAACTCTCCCCTCCCCCCAAGGTAACGGCAAGGCTTTGACATGTTCTGATGGAGCTTTTTAAGTCGATTTGAACTGGCACTGCTGGAAATCTTATCATAATGTGCTACAGAATACACTGGGCAATTTACTGAGAAATCACTACATACAAATGGTTGCCAATTGTGTTGAGATCATTGAAGGAAAGTTGCCCGTTGGTACCTTCTAACCATCTAGTGCCAGGTGTCTTCATCTTCCTGAGCTGGACATGGAGAAGGTCACATTCATGTTGTAACCAAGATGGAGTCGTTTCAGTGCTACTACTACCTATCACAGAGAGCAATAAAGTCTTTGGCTGGAAAATCATTCAGATATGCTGATCCAATGGTTCAGTGTTGATGACTTTGAAACATTTTTCTATGTGAAAAGCATACAAGTGCAAATATGCTGGTACTGGTGTCAGCCTGGCTCATTTAAGCCCCATGTTGGCACTTTGAACTGACTGTCTGGAATGATACTCCAATACAATGCTGGAGGAGCACGGCATTGTCAGAGGTGCCTTCCTTCACTTCATGACTAGTTGCGGGACATCGACGTGGCAATTAATTTGTGCAAATAGTCCCATTCACCTACAAATCTGCAGTCACTCCACTCTTGAGTAAATCTTTATTATAAATTGAGGGGTGGAGAGGTTAAAAAGTATCTGGAAACTAAAACCACATCAAACATTAAATTTTATCATATACAAGGTAACTAACCATAGCGCTGAAATTCCACTCACTGCTCTATGTAGAGACTTTGGTAAATGCGCAATTATAACAACAACATAAACATCAAATCCACATTTAGATAGCACCTCTCATGTCATGAGGTTGTCCCAAGGAACTGGACAGACCAGGTTTAGACCTGAGCTGAGGGGTGTGGTGGGGGTAGATGATCAAAGGCATAGTTGGACATCTTGAGGTGGATCTTGAAGGTGGAGAGAGTAGGAACTCCACAATGGAGTTCCAGAGAGTGGGGGCAGATTGGCTGAAGGCCCGATAGTGGGGCAGGTAGGACGAGGGATGTGAAGCAGGCCACCAAGTGGAAGGAGTGGGCGGGTTTCTATGGTTGCAGAGGTAGGGTGAGGTAAGACCATGGAGGTACTTAAAGGTGAAATCCCACCAAAGGCCGACATCACCAATGCCAATACGTGTAACACTAACCGGAATTTCATCTCACATGACAAGAGGAGCAAAAGAGCTGGAAATGCCATGTGAAAAGTCTTTAGATAATGTGAGAAGGACATGTAACATCTATAAAGTCTTTCTGAACCAGACAAAACAACAGAGAAGCAGCAGGAGGGGGGAATCAATCCAAAGTAATTACAAGAATCTGTAAGGAAGCCAAAATCCAATGGCAAATCCATCAAAATACCTGTGCAGGCTCTGCACATAAAAAGAGAGCACACTTTTCATCATCTTATTTGTACATTTAGTAGAAAGACAATGTGAAAATGTTGGAAATCAGCAAAAAAAATGGAATGCTAGAAATATGCAGGAGCTCACTGAGCATCTGAAGGTTAATATTTTGGTCATGAACCCTTGGTCAGAGCTGAAAAGCTCTGTACTCAATCTGCAGTTGGTATCACCGATATAGAGGAGACCGCATGGGATTGCAGGAATTGCTTGTGAATTGTTGCCTCAGATGGAGAGGAAGTTTAGGGACTGCAACTGATCTGATCGTCTGGAACAAGAACCCCCCACCCCCACTAAAATCCTGCAAATGAGCTTTGAATATCCCTGAACCCCGCCCTTCGCCCTTAGAAATAATCCCACTAACAAAGCCCATCGATAAAAAGAGCAAAAGATAACGATAGTATCTAAAACAAACTTAAACCAAAATGATGATGGCAGTTTACATACTTTCATTACATCTGAGGCCAGGTAGAGCATCAGCACTTAATGCCTGCTTCATTCCAAGTAGATGTTGCTGCTTAAAACACAGTTACAGTTCGCTACATTGCGGTAAAGGGATAGTTTAAAAATGCGGAGAACTGTTGTATCAAGACTGCTGCGTATTTAGTACTCACAATTAGCCACGCAGGGCTAGAAATACACCAATTTCTGCTACTTCCACATTTTGTTTTTGTCAATAAATTCACCTACAACATACATAACCAATGCACTGCACAGAATATCAGTGACAAATGACATTTTGTCCATCTGTGACCAGGGCTCCCTCTGTCTCCTCGTTCTCCTTAACCTCTCTGCTGCCTTTGATACAGTCGACCACTCTATCCTAGTCCACCGCCTCTCCATTCACCTCAACCTTCATGGTCCTGGCATTGAGTGGTTCTGATCCTACTTCTCACACCATCTCCACTTTGTCTCCACAAATAGCTTCTCCTCCAGCCCCCGCACTATCTCGTGCGGTGTTCCTAAGGGCTCTGTCCTTGGTCCTCTCTTCCTCATTCTGTATATGCTCCTTCTTGCTGAAGTCATCCGCAGCCATGGGGTCAACTTCCACATGTATGCGGATGACACCCAACTCTATCTCTCTGCCTCCACCCTTGACTCCAGGACAACTGACATCCTGGCAGAATGTCTGTGAGACATCAAGTCCTGGATGAGAGCTAACTTTCTACAGTTGTATGTCATCAAGACCGAGGGTCTCCTGATTGGCTCCCGTCAGTGCCTCCTCACCTCAGGCGCTGACAGCATCTCCATCCATGGTTACACACTCCACCCCACTGAGCCAGTCCGGAACCTTGGCATCTTGTTTGACCCTTAACTGACCTTTCTACCCCACATCCTTGCCATGACTCGTTCTATCTTCCCCACCTCTGCTACATCGCCCGGCTCCGCCACTGCCTCACCCCTCAGGCCACCAAGACCCTCATCCATGCATTTGTCACATCCAGGCTCGACTGCGCTAACTCCCTGCCTGCCCCAAACCTTTGGAATTCCAGCCTATAGCCCCTTTGCCTCATTCCCTCCCTTGTCTCCTTCAAGGCACATCTCAAAACCCTCCTTTTCAACCATGCCTTCGGCCACCCTCCACCCTTCCTGATCCCAACCCTCATGCTAGGGTACAAATCCCTGACTGGCCAGTGCCTTGGCTCATCCTTTCAACGTGAAAGGTGCTTTACAAATGTAATTTTGTATTATATTATAATGCAGCCCACAATATGATCTGGATACAAAACAGACAGACACACTTGTCAGTGTGCTTCACCCATATTGACATAGTGCTGCCACCTGCTGTTCATTCAAATAACATTGTTGAATGGTCACATTTCATTTTTAGGATGGAATTCTCCCCTATTTCAAAGACACAGAGGGAGGAGGGGGAGAGACACTTTTGCTCTTGAGAGAAGTGAGTGGGATGTTATTCTTACTTTGTTGGTTAATGTGCTCACCTTGACATTCTGTGCCTTTTACTCTCTATATGTAAATTCTAAGATGTGAATCTGTAATAGGAAAAATTCTTGACATCCTCACTTCTGCAGCTATTGAAACCTTTTAAAAAGTGAGAGGCTGCATCGAATGCTAAATTAGCCCCAACCTTTGCAAGGGTTAAGAAGTCAAATCAGACCAGGTTCCTGCTGCTTGTTCCTCTTCAGCATGTTCTAGTGTGTGTGTTTTTGTGTGGCATTCAGCTCACTGCCAAGGCTTACACATGAACATAAAAACAGAAGTCACTGGGAACACTCAGCAGGTCAGGCAGCATCTATGGAGAGGAAAGTAAGTTAACATTGCAGGTCGATGATCTTCAGGAACTCACTTTCCTTTCTTCATAGATGCTGCCCGAGCTGCTGAGTGTTCCCAGCAACTTCTGTTTTTATTTCAGATTTCCAGCATTTGCAGTATTTTGCCTTTTTTTTTACATACATGAACATGTTCACTTGGGTGGATAACTGGAGGGCAACCAGTGCCCATAGAACCGCACACTAGAATGAATCTCAAAGGCACATCAGACCATTTACTTTCATTTACCTGCACAAGAACAAAGAATCTTTTCTTCCATCTCTTCCACACATTCTTACCGATGGTCCATAAGTATCTAGAAAGAGACAGAAAGTCATGAGCAGGTGAGTGAACTGGAGGAAAACTCATGAACGTAAGAAGGAACAGAGTTACTCTGTCATGACAGATCTCCCTTTTGGAACCTTGTTCAAAGGACCTAGATTAATGAACTTCAGATCTAAAGAACATATTCTATAAACAGTAACACCTTAAATTGATTCCAAATAGTTGCCAAAGTGTTATGTATGTTTGAAGTGAAAGATATGGTAAGGCAGTAAACTCACAGACCTGTGCTGGTGCATGTGACATGTTTAGTTACCACTCTCAGGCTCATGGCCTAAACTCAATCTCCACTCCACTGAAGGCCACATCTTGGTGCTCAGAATCAAACGATTGTTTACCAACTGGCTCCAAAGACCATTCACAAACGTGAAATATACAATATAGACAGACACAGATGTCAGTGTGCTTTACCCGATCAGTTCACAGCCAGTGTATAAGGGAAGGTTTCAAGATTTGATGCTATTCTGTGTATTCCCTCTGCAGCATTTTAATATAAACAAGCTAGCACTGTTACCTCTAAAGACTAACATGTTTATATTGAAGTGCTGCCCTCAAAGGGAACATATTCTGTTGAGGAGGATGTTGCTGAACGAGTCTCTGGCTATTCCTTGACATTTCTGTTCCTCTGACCACGTATGTGTCAATGGAGCTCTTCCACACCTGTCTCTCACAGGATATAGTATTGATTGGATATTATAGGGCACAGTTTCTGCAGCTTCCTGTTCTCTCTTCAAGCCACCTCAATACTGTGATGTTTTTACAAGCTCGAATGGGTGCATTCGCAGCAAATCAAGAGAATTAGGACACGTTATTGTAAGCCAAGTAAACCTGGAGCTAAACATAAGGAGTAACAACTTCACACTTAAGAGTTGCTAACAGATGGAGCAGGCTGCTACTCAGAGCAGTGAATGCTGACTTGGTTGAAGCACTCTACTCAGAAATGGACACATTCAAATGCCACTGGTGCAATACAGTCGTGTCACCAAGACCGAGGAAGAGGTGCTGATGGACTGAGAGGCGTCCTATACAAGGAAGTCAATAAACTATTCTTCTTCAACAATGGATATCAGGCTGACAAGAGTAGGGTTGTCAGCCTGAAACTTTATTGGACCTTCCAGCAGTATGCATTTGAATGAGGGAACCTCCGAATCCAATTTATTCCTCTGCACTTTAGGATGGATAATTTGCATAATCTAACACAATTATAGTGATAACGAATCTGACCAAACTCATCACGATAGAGGCTGGAAATGATGAGTGTAAAACAGCTGTGGAATTTAAAGTAGCAATTTCAAGAGCAGCGAGCCCAATCTCAAACGGGAATTAATAACATGCATCATCGCTTTATGGATTAAAACCCGATTGAAGATTATTAACCTATTTATCAAAATAAATCACATGAGCATGTCTTACATCATCCTTTATGTATGGAGCAATGAGGCAGGGTCAGAAATGTTGCATAAAGATGACTCGATGCATTTGATTAAGGAATGAGAATGTACCACCTTATTTAGTGCTGAGACAAGCCGAGAGTGCCATCTGCTGGACACAAGGGTGAATGAACTGAATTTGTTGAGGAAGAGGCAGGAAAAAGGCTACCAGGAATTACAGGGGCTAAAATGTATATTTTGTAAACATCTTCAAAAACACCCCAACTGAAAACAAAATTCTAACTTATTCAATGCCCCCTACGTCTTTCACCATGCATGGATTGGTGTCAAGCAATGCGACTTGAAGACAGAGCATACATTTATCTGACGTCCGCAACAATTTCCACTTTCTAATGAAACTGTGATTTGAAGGATTAGATTACACTGATCAGAATTGTGCCCAAGCCATTATAGTTTTGGGGAGGCTGTAGTATTGATGACAGCTATGAAGTTAAAGCCATTGCATTTTATGTATGTCTACAGTCTCCACTGTAGCTAATAATAGTTCTATATTAAATTCCACTTTTATTATATGTCTGTTTCTCTTAATTTCACAACTGAAAATGCAGAATTATATTTCAATTTTGCAAAACCAAATTCTGTCTCTAATCTCAATATACATTTTTAGCTGCACAGTCCCTTGCAAGAAAGTCTTACTTTCAGAGAATCTTCTGATTCCAAGGGCACTTAATCCTACTGTAGACATAACACACAAACAATCTTTATTTAATTTCAGGTTACTGGCAAATAAATCATGATTTTGTTGCCTGATTTAGTCTAGACAATCTTCTTCAACTGAGGCGTGTGCAGAATTGCAGAAGGTGGTTTAGTAAGCAACATTCCTAACAGCAACATTATGAAATGACCTTGACAGCACATTGTGGGCGATGAAGGTAAAATTTGCATGCATTGGGTTACAATGTGAGCAGTGGAGGATTGTCAGAGGATACGTTGTGTAAAGTGATCATGGTTCTGCTGTGGAGTGGCGTCACTCTGAACCATTCGCTATGTTAGAGAGGATCAATTTTCTCTGTCTGTTGTCAGTGATATGACATTATTTAAGCATCGACTGGGCTTGCAGGATATTGGTGCCAATACAAATTTTTGGTATCAGCAGAAGCCAGAGTTTGGAGCGATGGCCTCAGGAGAAACAAGAAGTTCTAATGATATCAGTTTGCAATTTTATTAATGCCTATCAATCTATTACAAAGTTTCACTATTAAAATTATGTTCCAGCTTGCCTTTTCTTAATAATTTAATATCCATTTTCCTTCTCCTATCATAAATACTAACATCAGATTTATTGAAACAATTTAGCACTTTTGGATTCGAAGGGGTTTTATTTGCCCTTATTTCCTGTTGCTCATTTGCAGTTTTTCTCCGTTGTCTGCTTGTCCAATTTCCCCCATTTTCTTTGGCGTGGAAACCACTCTACGGGTTTCCAAGCTCAGTCAGCAGGTGATATCTTTTCTTCCCCCAAAGGGAAATTCTTCACTGCTGTCCTGCGGCCCCGTGAGAGGGTGGAGGTGGGGAACCTCTCAAAGAGTACATAAAAGCTGGCTGAGACAAGAGGCTCCAAGTTACCAGAGAGGACTGGGATTTGAAGGTCTGTGCTTGGATGTCAAATGTCCCTCTGTTTGAGCTACCTGAATGCCATCAATGAGATTTAGTGCCAGAACTCCCAGCTCAATGACTGGTCTTTTATCAAAATCTCTGTAAACATTTTGATTCTTCTTTAGAATCAAAAGCCAAAGAAAGCACCAAAATTACACAATTGTGATACTGATTTGACCAATGAACATTCTCTGTTAGAGGTCTCCTACCCTGTTAATTTGTACTGTAAATAGATACATGGTAATGAAAAGATAGTCAGTCAGGATCAACAATTTGTAACAGGAAAACACTTTGTGTGTGGAACTTAACTGCTTCAAATTCAGGCCAGACTTGTTCAAGTCTCACCAATCTATTAGCTGCTTGAGAATTAATCTTGAGTAGTATTCTGGAGAGGATAGAGGATGGCTGATGTCAGAAATGAAACAGGTGATTTTCCTTTGTGTGTGAAGCTTGAGGCACATTTGCCCTTTTTAGCCTAAAAAATTGCCCTTTTTATGTCATTAGAAACATTAACATAGAAGGCGGCGATTTGGCCCATTGTGGCTGTGCTGACTCTTTGAAAGAGCAATCCATTGAGTCCCATTGACCTGTCTTTTCCCCCGTACCTGTGCACATTACTCTTTTTGGTGTGTGTGTGTTTGTTTCATGACCAGGGCTAATAGAAAATTGTGGAAAAATTTGTCAAAAATTGCTGGGAAATTTGACAAAATGTTGCAGAAAATCATGGGGGTTGATTGGTGTTGTTGGGAGATACATTTTACCACTAACCTAATTTTTTTCACTTCATTGATCAAAAGTAAACATGAGGAAATAACACGTATTAGATTTAGATTATTGCAAAAAAAATTAATGGTTTCTTTAACAACACCTCGGTCGCCCAATGGGGTGGGGGGAATGGCCGAATGGCTCGTTTCCACCTCGCACTACAACAACAACAACAACAAGATCCCATTTATTGAGCGCCTTTCACGTCGGGACGACGTCCCAAGGAGCTGTACAGTTGGGTCAGGACCCGAGCAGGGGGGAAATGGTCAGGGTGAGAGGAGGGAAGGGAGGGAGCGAGGAGGGGGTAGAGAGTCGAGAGGGGAGCTGAAGGCACGGTCAAAGAGAAAGGTCTTGAGACCGGCCTTGAAGGAGGAAAGGGAGGAAGTGGCGAAGGCACTGGGGGATAGAGTTCCAGAGCCTCAGGGCTGAGAGGCTGAAGGCCCGACCACCGATGGTAGGGCGGTTGGGGCGGGGGATGTGGAGCAGACCGGAGCCAGAGGAACGGAGGGTACGGGCAGGTAAGTAGGGGGATAGTAGGTCGGAGAGGTAGGAGGGAGCGAGACCGTGAATGGCCTTGTAGGTGAGGATGAGGATCTTGAATTTGATCCTCTGGGGGATGGGGAGCCAGTGGAGGCGAGCGAGGGTGGGAGTGATGTGATCGCGAAGCCTGGTGCGGGACAGTACACGAGCTGCAGAGTTCTGAATGACCTGCAGCTTGTGGAGGGAGGTGCCGGGAAGGCCGACAAGGAGAGAGTTCCCATAGTCCAGCCTTGGGGTGATAAAGGTGTGGACCAGAGTTTCAGCAGCGTGAGGGGTGAGGTAGTGCCGTAGTCTGGCGACATTCCGGAGGTGATGGAAGGCGGTGCCAGTTGTGGCGCGAATATGAGGGAGAAAGGACAGCTCAGGGTCGAACAGAACACCGAGGTTCCTGACCGGCTTTGAGAGGTGGAGAGTGCAGCCTTGGATGCTGATGCTGTCAGCGCCTGAGGTGCGGAGGCGCTGACGTGAGCCAATCAGGAGGGCCTCAGTTTTGCGCACGTTGAGCTGAAGAAAGTTGTCTCTCGTCCAGGACTCGATGTCGGACAGGCAGCTGTCAGGACATCGGTGGTCGTGGAGTTGAGGGTAGAGGAGGAAAGGTAGAGTTGGGTGTCATCCGCATACATGTGGAAGTTAACCCCATGTCTGCGGATGATGTCACCACAGGGGGAGCATATAGAGGGTGAAGAGGAGGGGACCGAGGACAGAGCCTTGAGGGACACCGCACGAGACAGTGCGGGGGCCGGAGGAAAAGCCATTTGTGGAGACAAAGTGAAGACGGTGGGAGAGGTACGACCTAAACCACTGAAGGACAGGGCCTTGAAGGTTGAGGTGGGAGGACAAGCGGTGGAGGAGGATAGCGTGGTCGACCGTATCGAATGCTGCCGATAGGTCGAGGAGTACGAGGAGGCAGAGGGAGCCCTGGTCACAGATGGTCAGGATGTCATTGGTGACCTTGACCAGGGCAGTTTCTACATTTGAAGGCCTGGAGATCTGCTAAACATCACCTAACTGTGGGGCTCCAGGAGGTCACCACCTCCTGCTTCTCAGAACCACCACTGCACAGAGACAGAGAGAGAGAGAGAGAGAGATACACACAAACACACACACAGACCCAGAGAGAGAAAAACAGATACACACAGACACAAACAGACACATACGCACATGTGCACACCCAGAGAAACAAAGTCACAGACACACGAACATACACTTAAACTCTGAGAGAGACACACACACAATCAGAGATATAAACTCAGAGACAGAGAAAGACACACGCACTCACAGACAGAAAGAGAAAGACACAAACTCATAGAGACATACACACTCACAGACATAAGAGGAAAACATACACTCAGATATAGAGAGACACACACTCACAGACAGGGAGAGAGACACATACATAGGGGGGTGTTTGTAGCGGAGGAGGTTGTTTGTAGCGGCAATTGTTCCTTGTAGCAAATTCCCCGGAAAAATTGCAGCAGCACTTTTCTATTGGCCCAGCCCATGACCCCATGTTTAATGGTGGCTATGTATACAGTTGTGCACAAGTGATTGTAACCAAGATCAGTATTCCACCCGACCAGTGGAATGTTCGACCTTTGTCAGTAACAGTTATACATCATTAAAAACAATGGAGTCCACGCTCGGCAATGTGAATAAAATGGGTGTGCTAATTCCAGGCAGACCTTCTTGTTCCTCTCACTTCTAGGACCTATTTGCTTCCTGTTACACTCCTGCTAAACTTTTGTTTTTCTTCACTGCTGCTCCCCAGTGCTCCTCAAGCCCCATTTACCACTTACTTACACAGCTGCAATCACATATTCATATCTTTTACTGATGCCTACACAAATTTACAATCAGCTCACAAGCTTCTCATAAGGATTGAGCCTTTATCCTTCTCCAGCTGAATATTCTCTTGAGTTTGCAAATTCCACAATTTTTCATCAGGTTGACGATGTATTAACATCGTATTGAAAGGCTGAATATCACACCACAGAAACCTTTTCTCCCCAAATAATATGCTTTGGTAAAATAGAGGGTCAGCATCTCAAATTATATTCTCCTTTGTGGTGTTGAGATGTTTTGATATCTTACGGTGGCAAAATAGTTGATCTTATTCTGTATTTTCTTAAGTGACATAAAAACAGAAAAAGCAGACAGATAAAGTTCATTCTCTTTTATTTTACATCACCAAAGGCCACTTAATAAAACTGAACTGTCACCAGAGGGTTCCATGTGTTCTTTCAAGGAAATTTAAGAACATTGGAAATGCAGAGGGAACCAATAGATAGGAGCAAAACCAGGCTTCAGATTAAGAAATAACCTTTTACATCTGAATTTGCAATTAGGATTCCTTAAAAATGCATTTATAACACACCTGAAGGTTGTATCCATTCAGTCACCAATCCTATTACACGTAATTGATACCCAACTCATTATCTGTAGCTGCTAACCCATAGCTTAATCAAATGTCACCAATCGTCACCTATATGTTACCAGAACCAACAGATTAAGAAATTCAATATCTCAATCACTTCCTTCAAGTGTATTTTTAATTCACAATCCAGTACTTACCCACAGTGCTTCATATTCTGCGGTTTATCCATCCGTACTGCCAATTTAATTTTTAGATCTTGGTCGGTGCTGTTTTTCGAAACAACCATTTTGTGCCAATCAGCTGATTTTGGACTGTTGGGTGTAGGATGCAAGACAACCTGAAAAAATTCAAAACAACACTATTTCATTTGTCGGAGCAAGGCTGAGGTGAATTAGATGCCAACCTCAGGGGAACCACAGACTATTGCAGATCAGCTGGTCTGCAGTGAAATAAAGCCAGCCATTGCAACAAAGGAGAGACAATCGACAGAGAAATTAACTGAATGATCCATTGCACAATTACTGTGTGACTGCATTGCTTGACAGCCTATTAGGAACACAACAAATACAATGAGAGCTGCACAGATGGTCGTCATCATCAACGATTGATATAAAAGCATTTCTACACAATGCAACACTCATTCTCACAGCGAGAAGAAATTTGCCAGTTAAAACAATCGACCACTGATGTTGTTTCTCATCAGCTTGACATAATAATAATAATAATCCTTGCATTTTGATATAGCGCTTTTCACGTCAGGAGGACGTCCCAAAGCGCTTCACAGAACACACTGTAAAGTGAATTGACTGTATATTTGTGGGCGAACGCAGCAGCCAATTGCGCACAGCAATGTCCCACAAACAGTCGTAGATTGAAAATGATCAATTTTTATTACTGTTTGGGGTTTTGGAGGGATTATTATTAGGCTCTGTGTGGAGTAAGGAAACTTGCCCAAGGTTTCGCCCTGCCTGGAATTGAACTCAGGTCTCTCGCTTGCAAAGCGAGTGCTCTAACCACTGAGCTACAGGACTCAACATATATGCATAACCATAAATTAGTGTAAATATGTGCAATACATGCTACCAACTCAGGAGAGAATTAACTTTCCGATTTTAACCAAACTGTTGCCACTATACTGGTGCATCTATGGCAGCTCAACTGTTACAGGCTGAGCAGCCTGGCTCAGAAGTACCTGTTGCTGAATCAAATGTCAAAGTGTGAAATTCTGCACATTGGTACAACTGCTGACCTTGCTGCGGTATGCTTATAATGGGGAAATTGCAACACAAATAATAAAAATAATAATAATTCTTGCATTTGATAGAGTACCTATCACATCTTCGAGCCGTCTCAAAGCGCTTCACAGAATATAGTGTAAAGTGCATTGACTGTATATTTTGTGGGCAAAACGTGGCAGCCAATTGCACAAAGCAGTGTCCCACAAACAGTTGTGGATTGAAGTGACCAATTTATTATTTTTTTTTGAAGGAAATATTACGCCTGGAAAGTGACCCACCAATTGACTAATATTCAGGTTCCTAGTTACTGCTAAAGAAACTTGCTCAACATTTTGCCCTGCCGGGGATCGAACCCAGGTCTCTCACTTGCTCTAACCACTGAGCTACAGGACTCCATGAATTCAAATTTATTTGAAGGGCTCATCCCAACATGAAAGGCATCATATAAATGTAAATTGTATTGAACCCCGCCAACATCAGTAGCTTTACCAATGTAATTCCACCCTTTCTGAATTCACTTAGCAATTTTGAAGCAGATTTTCATTATATATGCAAAGCTGGATCTGCTCAGCTGCACTTCAATATTTCTACACGGGTTGCAGGATATTATTGATTATCATTATTCTTCAAATAATTTCCATTTTACACACTGAGAATAAAATAAATAGTTAATCTGAACAAAGGATCCTGTCTCCCCAGGAATCACATGTACTTCCCCTGTCCCCCCTCACAAAACTGCCTTTTGGAAAGTTAAGTCTAGAGTTCTTTCGGAAGGTTGTGCATGAAACAAAATGCTGATTCTGACAGATACACATTGTTTGAACCCAGCCTCGGAAATGATAGTGTTCTTATAAAATGATGCCTGATACTGGGGTGGGAGTTGAACCTTTAGAGATGACCGAGAGCAGTGCCCTTGGATATCAATCAATCCACTAAATAATAATAATAATAATAATCCTTGCATTTGATATAGCGCTTTTCACGTCAGGAGGACGTCCCAAAGCGCTTCACAGAACACACTGTAAAGTGAATTGACTGTATATTTGTGGGCGAATGCGGCAGCCAATTGCGCACAGCAATGTCCCACAAACAGTCGTAGATTGAAAATGACCAATTTATTATTTTTGTTTGGTTTTTGGAGGGATTATTATTAGGCGTGTGGAGTAAGGAAACTTGCCCAAGGTTTTGCCCTGCCTGGAATTGAACTCAGGTCTCTCGCTTGCAAAGTGAGTGCTCTAACCACTGAGCTACAGGACTCCACAGGTGCTCAGACACCAACAGTGTGAAACCCTCTGAATTTACAATACTAGAAAAGTGGTCACCACTCTCAAGAGTTCACAAGTCAGAAGGCACACAGTAAAAATTCGGACGAAAGAATTAACTTCTCATTGTGGCTTCTTGGAATAAAAATAATAATAATAATAATAATGCTTGCAATGCCTTATTAAGTCGTTGAACTGTCTCAAAATGCTTTGCTGGATTTATTGTAAAGTGTAATGACTGTAGTTGTAGACAAATGCATTCCCAAAACGCCTACAGCAATGACCCACACGTAAACATAAAATGATCAAACTTTTGGTAATTTCTGGGAAAAACACTTCCCTTTTCAAATAGTACCATGGGATCTTTGACATCCACCTGAATGGGCAGACAAGACCTCAGCTTTACATCATCTCTAACAATGTAGCAGTATTGCACTGGAGTGTCAGGCTAGGAAAGACTGGCTCAAAAGCACTTGTAGCTGAATCACAAGCTCAAAGTCCTGACAAGATGAATGTATTTTAAGCTGTCTTTTATTGCAACTCAAAGTCAGTCAGTTGTCACATTTTGTTTCCTGTGTTTGCAGTATACATTGCATAACTTATCATAGAATCATAGAATTATACAGCACAGAAGGAGTCCATTTGGCCCATCGTGCCTATGCCGGATCTTGAAAATGATGAAAAGAGCTATCTAAATCAATCCCACTCCCCTGAGCTCTCCCCATTAGCCCTGCAAACTTGTCCTCCCAAAATAATTATCTACTTCTTTCTTAAAAGTTGTTATCAAATTGGCTTCCATCACTCTTTCAGGCAATGCATTCCAGATCTGAACAACTCGCTGTGTGAAAAAAATTGCTCCTCACCTCCCCTCTGTTTCTTTAAACAACTATTTTAAATCGGTGCCCTCGGGTTACTGACCCACCCGCCAGTGGAAATAATTTCTCCTTATTCATCTTATCGAATCCCCTTGTAATTTTGAAACCTTCTATTAAGTCTCCTCTTAACCTCCTCTGCTCCAAGGAAAATAATCCTAGCTTCTCTAGCCTCTCCTCATATCTGAAGTCCTTCATTCCTGGTACCATTCTGGTAAATCTCCTTTGCAACCTCTCCAATGCCTTCACATCCTTCCTAAAGTGTGGGGTCCAGACCTGAACACAGTAGGAAAACTAGAAATCATATTAAATTTAATACAATTTTCATACCATCAGGCAAGTGTAATTGTAAAGTTTGTAAATTAGAGAATGCTTTGTGATTTAGCTGAGGCCTAACCAGTGTTTTATAAATGTTCATCATAACTTCCTGACTTTTGTATTCTATGCCCCTATTTATAAAGCCTAGTATCCCGTATGCTTTTTTAACAGCTTTATCTACCTGTCCTGCCACCTTCAAAGGTTTACTTTTATGAACCTCCAGGTCTCTCTGTTCCTTCACCCCCTTTAAGAGTTTACCATATAGTTTATATTGCCTCTCCTCATTCTTCCTCCCAAAATGCATCACTTAGCATTTCTCCACATTAAACTTCATCTCCCACTTGCCTGCCCATTTCAACAGTCTGTCTATGTCCTCTTGCAGTCTGCTACAATTATATTGTATTATACAATGCAATGTGAATAGGGAATCAGACATGATCAATATCTTTTAATATAGTTTCTGGGAATATATTTATTTTATTCAACTGAGCTAGTTTCCACCATGGGTGGAGGGGGAGATGCCAACACTTTAATGGATGCACTGTTTGGTTTCAGTTAAGGAGAAATCCCAAGAGTCTACACACTGGTGTTGGGTGTATATGCCTCACAGGCAGTAGGCTGATTTGATTGTGTACTAGGTCACTTTTTTTGCACCCTTAAATCCTTCAGCATGCCCAGAAGATATGGAATATTGTGTCCTCTCCCCTGCAGTATCTCCAGCAGAGATAAATATGTTTGCATTGAAATCACTTCCACCCAACTGATTAGTTTTACGTTAATAATTTTCCTCCCTCTCAGCACACGTTTGCTTTTCAGTCACAGCTCTATGATAAAATAGCAGATGCAAGTCTGTTGACATGCTTTTACATATACTGACTGTGAGGCCAGATCTCTTGGTTAAAGTGGTCTAGGGTCAACAGAGGAGATGACAATAGACAAAGCAATGAGATGAAGCAATCTCATGCATTGAGAGATATTGTAGGATTAGGAAGGTGGATTTACAAGCTGCAAGCAACAATATTTAACATTACCCTGATCTCAAATAACAAAATCAATGCTTTGTATAAGACTGAATTCAACAGAAAGTGTTCCAATGGAAACAGACTTAACACAGAAAGAAATGAAGTCTAGTTATTTGTGATCTTCTAAAAGTGCTCTGGCCAGCAATATTAAGTTATTGTAGGGAGTAAAAAACCACTCCTTTGGCACCAGATCTAGTGGCAGCCTGTGCAGATTTGGCAGGCTCCCCATGTCATAAATGATTCATCACAGGAAATAAAGCGTACTCACCCGACCAAGCTCCTTGTCCTCCAGAGCCAACACACCAGTGCTCTCTGTGAAGAGCTTCACCTTTACAGCAGGAAGTGGGTGTGTGGTGGTAAAGTCACCTTGGGTTCCCCAGCTGGAGAGAGCAAACAATTGTAGAGATGTCAAATACTTTTAATATCAGCTCTCAGTAAATGATCCATCATTAGCATAATTTATAATAATTCTTACATTTGCATTGCAATGAATATTGAATCATATTTTTAAAATCCGTAGTTGGCAATTTAAATAAATTGAAACACAGATGGGATGAACTTCCACGCAGTGTAGATATCCTCTATCATTTTTGCATTTCAGAGAATCCAGATTTTTGGCAAATTACTGAATTCAGGCTTCACTTTGAAGCCGACCTTCTATGGTTCTTAAAACAAATTCACAGAAAAAATGGTTTAAAAATAAAAACTGTGTTTAAGAATTTTCCACCATCTGAACACCCAGAAATGCTAAGAAAATAGAGTAAATCTGGGCTCAGGTGGAAATGCATTATTTTCACAAAAAGGCTCGGAGTGACATTCATATTAGCTGAAAAGTTTTCAGCTTATCAAAAATTGACATCTAAGAGTAGCTGTACAACTGGAAAATAACATCAGTCTGCAAATGTCCTAAGGAATGAAGTGAAGAGAGAAAAACGCTGAGCTCAGCGCATAGCTGCTGAGGATGATGGGGAACAGGTGTCTTTCACAAGCACAAGTAGCATTTCAAAAGAAAACGCTGAAATTTTTAATTCCCGTAGTGCTTGAGGGGGAAGAGAGAAAGTCGCCATCCTTGCAAACACAGAAATATTTAAGATGATTGCTGATACATCTTATCCTAACCTCTGGAACACTCCCTCAATCAATCCCTCTACCTCGGCCCTGTTCCATCTCTACCTGAATTCAAGTCCTACATTAAAACCTACCATATTGACTGTAGCATTGGTCATCTCCGCCCTTCCCCATGCTCGGCTTCTGTGCCCGTCACTGTAAGGCACACTGCAGTGTTATTCTATATGAAGAGTTCTACATTAATGCAAGTTCTTGTTGTTACTGTTGTTGTTGATTGTAATTTATTTATTGTTGCTGTTGTTGTTGATTGTTACTTATTTATTTTTCTACCCTGTCTCTCTGTGTTTGTGAGTGTCTCTGTGTCTGTGAATGTCTCTATGTGTGTGTGTGTGTGTCTCTCTCTGTGAGTGTCTCTATGTGTGTGTCTCTCTCTATGTTTGTGAGTGTTTCTAGGTGTGTCTCTCTCTCTCTCTCTGTTTGTGAGCGTCTCTGTGTGTGTGTATCTCTCTATGTGTTTGTGAGTGTTTCTGTGTGTGTGTCTCTCTCTCTATATGTTTGTGTGTGTTTCTATGTAAATGTGTCTCTCCCCTCCTTATGTTTGTGAGTGTCTGTAGGAGTGTGCTGTTTGTCTCTTTCTCTATGTGTGTGTGTGTTTCTGAGTGTCCCTGCGTGAATATGTATGTGTCTCTCTCTCCCGTGTGTGTGGTTCTTTGTGTCTATGTGTATGTGTCTCTCTCTCTCTCTCTCTCGGAGAATGTGTTTCTCTTTGTGTAGAGCATGTGTGTCTTTCTGTGTTTGTGAGTGTGTGTCTCTGCGTCTGTGAGTGTGTGTGTCTGTGAGTGTCTCTCTCTCTCTGTATCTGTGAGTTGTGTGTCTCTCCATGTCTGAGTGTGTGTGTCTTGCTCTGTGTCTGTGAGTGTGTGCCTCTTTGGGTCTGTGAGTGTGTGTCTCTCTGTCTGTGAGTGTGTCTCTCTCTCTCTGTATTTGTGAGTCTGTCTCTCTCTCTGTCTGTGTGTATCTCTCTTTGTCTGTGAGCGTGTGTGTCTGTGAGTGTGTGTCTCCATGTATCTATGAATGTCTGTGTCTGTGTGTTTCTCTCTTTGTCTGTGAGTGTGTGTCTCTCTTTGTCTGAGTGTGTATCTCTCTGTGTCTGTGATTGTGCGTGTCTGTGAGTGTGTCTCTCTCTGTGTGTCTATGGGTTGTGTGTCTCCATGTCTGAGTGTGTGTGTGTCTCGCTCTGTGTCTGTGACTGTGTGCCTCTCTGTGTCTGTGAGTGTCTCTTTCTCTATCTGTGAGTTTGTGTCACTGTGTCTGTGAGTGTGTCTCTGTGTCTGTGAGTGTGTGTGTGTGTCTGTGAGTGTGTCTCTCTCTCTGTGTTTCTGAGTGTGTCTTCTCTCTGCGTCTGTGTGTCTCTCTCTTTGTCTGTGAGTGTGTGTATCTGTGAATGTGTGTCTCCATGTATCTATGAATGTGTCTCTCTCTGTGTCTGTGAGTGTGTGTCTCCAGGTATCTATGAATGTGTCTCTCTCTCGTGTCTGTGAGTGTGTGTCTCTCTCTCTTTGTCTGTGAGTGTGTGTGTCTCTCTCTCTGAGTCTCTCTGTGCGGTGTTGGGCCCTGAGAGGCAGAAGGTGGTGAGCTCCTGTCATCCTGCAGTCAGGACACTGTTTTTTGTTTTTCATGCCTGCTTGGTACCCCCCACCTCCCCCCAAAAGGCCACCCAGTTTTTGTTAAATAAGAAATTAATAAGTTTTGTTGCAATGATCTAATATGTGTTATTTCCTCATGTTTAGTTTTTATCAATAAAGTGAAAAAATGTAGGTTGGCAGTAAAATGTATCTCAATCGCCCAATCAACTCCCACAATTCCCTGCAAATTTTGGCAAATATTTTCACACTTTTCTGTTGGCCCAGGTGATCAGCATATGACACACAAATGCCTCCTGATGGTTGTTTTAATGTTCTAAGACTTGCAGCACTACTAAATAATGTGCACTTATCACCGTGATGTATTGAAATATCCATGAACAAAGAGAAACTATCAGCAGTATCTAAGAGTCGGAAAACCAATTTGGGAAGCTTTTCTGTGCCTCTGTAGTTAGGAATATTTGGTTTATCGACAATTCTTATTCATCTCAAAGTCATCAAACATTCAAAGTTCAACTACCTTCTCTTCAACTATAGGGTGTATCATACGTTAATGACTAAAAATTATGATCTGTGTAATCAGCATAAGAGAAATCATGATTTTTATTTGCTTGACAATTTTTCCCCTTTCTTCCTCTCTGAAGGCATTGACCCCTTTTTCCTTTTGCTTGGGTACTGTCAAATGGATATGAAGTCATGCTCTGGACCTTGCATTATTCATCTGTGAATAATACATTGAATGTTGGCAGGCTTGCATCCAAGCATTGGGTGATAGCCGGCAGGGGAGGGGGAGGGAAAGGTGACAAGGGCGCAATCAAAGAGGAAGGTTTTGAGGTGGACCTTGAAAGAGGTGAGGGACCGGATTGAGATCAAGAGAGCGGGGGCAGATGCCTGCAAGCCAAATCACTAATGGTGGGATGGGTAGGACAGACACATGAAGTGGGCCGGTGCCACTGAGCAGAGGGAGCAGCTGGGTTGGTGGAGGTCTCAAGGTAGGGTGGGACAAGACCATGGAGGGATTGTTATTAACAATTCCTGACAACTAAATTGAAAATCAGGCACCAATTACCGTCAACTCATGGTATCCAGCGAGCTAACAGTTAAAGAGTCAGAAGAAATGTATTTATGAAGAATGATTTCATGTTAATAGTCCCACTGTCATGTGATGCCACTTGCTGCATTCCAGATCAGACGTGCTCAGCTAGAATAATATCACCATCTGTCACTTCTCTGCACCCAGGTCTGCAGAGGGAAGCGCTCCAGTTTGCACCTTCATTAGTGGTAACGTTGAATATAATAAACAATCAATGCAGCAAGTCAAAGAATCAAGGGAAAATAATTTTACGAAACACAGAAATGGTGAGGTGTGATAGAATGCCCTTAAAAAAAGAAAGGATGCGCAGAATTGCTCAGAAAACAGTGTCTGCTCTGAGCAAGATTGGTTTTGCTGCTGTCACTTTGATTGACATGGCAACAAATCCCTTGCTGGCTGAAGACCACCAGACCATATGTCATTGCTGAACCTGTCCAGCCAAATGCAGCGGCAATTGTAATTTCTTAGCTGAGTAAAATGTTTGGATTCCAGGGTCATAGACCTATGAAAATTATAGCGAAAAATAAGGCCCTGTAAGTATGGGGATAGATAGATATTTAACAGTGCATCAAAAAGATGAAATAAAAGATGGGCCAAAATATAAATTTTCTGGCAGTAGAATTTAAGTCTCTCAAGCACTCGATTTAAAGCTGAATGGAATCTGGAATTATGTCACTGGTTGCCATAGCAACATTCGGCACAAGGCCACAAATCTGTTTGGGGGTGGGGGGTAATGAAACTGATTTGTATTCTTAGAGAATACACGGCATATGTGCATAGGATTTTAAATGGTATAGAATTGTTAAATTTAGCTCGGAATGTCTTCTAGGTCTTTGATAGAGACGTACTCATTGCAAATGCATTTCCACAATGAGAGACAGCTACTCAGCTAAAAGCTACATGGCAATAATGAAATAAACCTCCCATTAGATATTCATTAACATAAACTCATTGCCAATTCCTGCCTACAAAGCTTTCCTGTCATTAGCTTTGCTTGATTGATGGATTCTAGGCCCCATTATTATTTGAATTTGTAACTATTTTGTATTACATATGGCACTTGCAACAGCATAACATTTGCTACCGACAGAGTGGACTCTGCTATTAGAATTGCAGAAGATTCTGGTTGAGAAGTAGCAAAACTTTCAGTTGAAGAATGCAGTCAGACCATAATCCAGCGATGCACAGGTTGCTCAGAATACCTGTCCACTGAAGCCCTCATGCTATAAAGGGAAGTGTGGTTCACTCACTCCGAGGCTGATTAGACAACTTCCAACTTTGAAAATGGCTGACTTTGGGGTCGACCCATCACTGTTGACATCACTTCCTGTGAAAAGCAACATCATCAGTGCTTCATGTCTAAGTCATACAGGAAGTGATGTCAGCAGCACACAGCGCACATCGTGCACAAAGTGACCTCAGTGGAACCTGATGATCTGGAAGTTGGCCAATTTTTCACACTTCATTATTACGTAGCTTCTGAGATTTTGGACCTGGTTTACAGTGTTTGCTCTGTATACAGATATCATCCATATTCAAAGGGCAATATAAAATCTATTCATTGCTATGGACAATT